GCGTTATCGACAACTGCAGAAGCAAAAATAAAAGGACTCAATAAGTGGTCCCGCGAGCCATGGCCATACTTAACCCGCCGACTCCAATTAAGTCGAACGGCGATGAGAGCTCCGTTGGGAGGTCTTCGATGTGGTTCTCCGTACCCCGTTCCTTCGTACGATCGTGCTTCGGATTCTTTTCCCTTCGCCTTAATCTATGCCACCCAGCCAGGAGTGAGAACATACCTATCCGGGACGGCTATGAGAAGAGCCCTAGAACTTCGAACATACATTCGCCAGGGCGCGAAGCCATGGAAGCCGCTGGATCCAGCCCAGTTCCTATTTCGTCGCTGTCGGTGTCAGCGAGCCCGCCGTTAAAGCTGAATCTCCGTGCGTGACGCAGGTGTCAATGCCAGTGCATTGGTGGGCGTACCTGGGTTACCCTTCAGCTCCAACACTCGCCAACCTCCAGGGCATACATGAGTGGAGCTTGACGTTTTCGTGATTCTGCTTGGCCAACGTCCCATGGACCGTGAACTGTCCTGTCAGGGACCCAAACGATCGCGAAAAGTTACGAAACCTCATTGAGAGCCAACGATCTTGCGGGGTATATTTAGCTGCGACGCCGACTTGACCTCCTGCCCGTGACATGTATCTGCGTTTGTCAATGTACGCGGAGGGAAACATATTTGCATTTACTGGAGCTGACCTGCCGTTCGTGAGCGTGCGACGCCTCGGTCGGGGTCCCCACGCCCGTCGCCGGGGATGCGCTGAGAGCAAGCGTCAACATCCTGGGAGTGGACGGTTCCGAGCTAGGCCCAGCGCCGGCAGAAGCACCTGAAGATAATGTTAGTCCTAGTATGCAGTTCTAGGCACCAGAATACGCTTCTGGCGCATGAGAAATGGAGCGCTTATTGAGTTTAGTGAGTTGGAATGGAAGCCCACGCCGACTATTGAAAGGTGAGGAGACGCCGGCTTTGACAGGACGGAATGCAGGTGCGTAGCGACATGACAGCCACGCCCGTGGTGCTCGTGCATGACAAGTGGTGACGCGGACGCTCTGGCTCAAAGGCTAGGGCTCCACAGTGGGAGCGTACGCTTGTGGGTCCCGTTTATGCTCCGACGGACCTTGCTTCATGTCTTCATCGCAAATTTGTCTGGAAAATTATTCTTGAGATTAGAAAACGGGAAATGAACATCGCTATCTACCCCACCCATTTCCAAGAAGCGGTGAGTATGGGAAAGAGACACGAGGCTCGCTGAATAAATAAAGAAAGTCTACTGTACTTGGATTCCGAGTCCAGTTGACAGATGGGTGATGCCCCGGGAGCGACTGCAGGTTGGCCTCAGTCCGTGGCGCAGATGCTGCATATCTTATCTTCTAAAGACTTCTAAAGACTAAAACTACTTACGTCGCGACTCGTGCTCGTCCCCATGTTCATTGTTCCGCTGTGCGCCACGCTGCAAGCGCACAAATTCATGATCACTGACGGCCGCCCTTGCGAAGTGTGATCGACCTATTGGACCCGCATTTTCTGCGCGCCTACCGCCGCCCTGGCCGATATTACACGCAGCTGCGTAAAAGCGTAAAATAAAATAAACGAGTCCCCCAAATTAGGCGTCCAAGAAAATCGCCAAGGGTGAGTGACCACGCTCCCCATGCACGCCACAAACGGCCGAAAGCGCGAGATTTCTCCCCACGCGCGGCCCTGCACAGCGCACCCTGCGCCAATGTACTGATGGGGACATGTCAATGTCCTGCGCCTCTTTATTCACCGTGGGCTCATCGTGCGTCGGGCGGGAAGAGCCGAACTGAGGAGACATCGCACTGAAGCGCAGTGAGCGCTTACGCGATAAACGTGAACATTTCACGCCTTCGAATCGCCGTTACTTGTGCGCAGTGCGCAGACATTTGGCTTAGATATAGTGGTAAGAGAATCATTGAAACCCGTTGGAATCGCTGATAACTCGAAATCCGAGAGGGTGAACATGCCGTACGCCTTACAGGAAATACTTTGGAGCGACGGTAATTTCGCCATCGCCTAGGCAAATTCTGGACCCAAATTAGACGAGAGTTTCGAGGTGATGTAAGAAGGATGTGCCAGCGAGCCCGAGTGGTTTGCAGAGTCAATTCTAATTCAACGGGAACGTTCGAGGACCCCATGAGCATGCGCTCGCTTGGTAGATGTCTGGAGCTTTGTCTCAACGCCTTAAAAAGAAGTGACAAGCACGCTCAAGTTCATTCGGCTGCGTGAAATGATAACCCGTGAAGAAAAGGACCTCTCTCACTAATTTCTAAAAATGCGACGGCAGACTACACTACTCCGCCGACAGTTCAACGGCCCCTTGTTACGTTTGTGGCTTTATTTAACAACCTCATGGTCCTGACATCTTCAAATAAAGGTCTCGATCTGCTGTTGCTTTTGTCTGGAGGAGAGCTTGGTCTCGGTACCGGCACTAGGACTCGGAGTAGCTCTCGACTCGAAGACGTACGCCAAGCGTTCACGGTGGATGTCTCGGTCGGCGATTAGCCATATATAGAAATTCCTACCATCCACAGACGGAACACGCCGGACCGGGCTCATCCGCAGTCTTGTTGCTCTGGCTTGCCAGATCATCTGGCCCAGATGAAACGACCAATCTATACGAATTTCAAGACATTCTGCACCATGATTAATGCGCCTTGTGCTCTGCATCTGTCTCTTACGTTCAATGACCCGGGTCCGACCAAAACTACTGTGCGCCTGTTGTTCGTCGAGGCGCAACTCAAAATCTAAAAGACCGGTCAAAAAAGGTACAACAGACACGAATTATGTCCCCAGTTGCCGTCGAACTGCTCCTATCCTCCTCACTCGGTCCTCGAGGATGCCGAGTGCTAGCGGACGATTCGCCTAGGCAGGCTGTGTCGACAATCGAGCATCCATCAATGGGCTGAAAATCCCCTTGTGAAGGACTATCTCCGCGGCTCGGGTGGCTATGGGTCCTCCAACAATTGTCGTATACCCTATCAGTAGGTGATGACTGGACAGAGGAATTATTCCGAGTGCATTGCCCGAGTCCTTGATGTCGATGAACAGTGACCATCCACTCGCCGTTCCGCTACCCCGATCTTTCTGATTTTAAAGTGGGCTCCCCGACCCGATTGTACAGATAATCTGTGCAGGTATTACAATCGTGGAAGCTATTCTATGTATGTGCTTGTCCACCGCTGCCTTGCGGACAACAATAAAGTACTGGCGCCCACTGGCCCTGAGTGCTTCGGGGTCCACTCACGGAAAGTGTTCCGTATTCAACTGGGATATTAAGTTCTCCTTTTCAGCGGTCCATCCTCCCGAATCATGGTCACACATCACGATCGATGGCAGGAGGATGAGATTGTCAGCAACTTGTGCTGGTTGGCCTTTGTCGGCTGGCCTTACCTCCGTTTATCGACTGCTTTTCCTCTCGAATACCTTTCTCGTGAGCCTTTGTGTAACAAGGTCATGATCTAGCGCACCTCGCAAACGATAAAATACCGTCGTTGTCGGAGTGGACGACTGGCATTTTCTCCTTCCTCCGATTTTCAATCTGCATCAGAAATGCTCCTCGTACAACCCATTCTACTTCTGCGAGAAGTGATCATCAAGTTGAGCAATTGGTAGCAACGTACTCTAAAAGCGCTCAGTGAGAACGCTTGATGCCATTCAGCGGCACCCGTGAACACGTTTCATACGCACAAAAAGGTGAGGTATTCATTTTCTTTTCGACCTCTTGAGTTCAATATATTTTGGAGCCGCTGTTCCCTGCTGAAGTTCGCTTCTGTTGAGGATTGATATTTATGTAGTGTCCTATTTGCTTGTTGCCTGAAGCTACAATGCAATCGGATAATCTCTGTCATACGTATATTCGAGCGAAAAGCAAGACCGATCTCCTTTTTTCGATGCGTTTTCGAAATAAGACGGTCTCGATCATCCAAAAGCCGCAGCAGGTCAGCGCCAAAGATCGGCATCATTCATGAGCAGGCAGCTCGGGGAATGCAACAGTGCGAATCATCACCGAGGCTACAGATCCCCAGTACACCGTACTATTTAATTCGAGGACACACAACTACCAGGCCCTGTGGATACTTGTGAAGGGACGTTCAATTGAGGTGGATGAACTATTTGGAGCGGGGGAGTCCCGAGCGCCCGCACAATAGACTTCTAAATGGCTCGGCGCCTATTCTGAAGAGGGTGAAGGGTAGTACAAAAATACCCGGACCTCAGTTCTCTTCGAAACTGCTCACGAATCGCTACTTTAGAGACAGACTTGAACGTTGTCCGGATAACAGGTGTTCGCATGCCATACCGGAGTATCTGAAGCAATCAGCTCTACTTACGACATGCCTCTCCGATCGGAGTTACGGCCCACTTATAGAGACAACTCCGAATAGACTCACAGGAAGAACGATGGCACGCCCCGGTGGGCGAGGCTCTGCACGGAGTTGTCAGCTTTTCAAATAGCTGTCAATAGTATGCCAGACGCAGGCGCCGTGTTTCATAAGAGTTTACGGATGTAGTAAAAGTCAGGAGAAAACTTCGAGGGGCCAAGATACCGTTGGTCATAGGCTCTCTATACCCACCAAATCAGCACAGCTGTTTCACCCTGCGGGAATGACCATTGGGTTAGGCTCTACAACTCCCATAAGCAACACGATAGCTTGGACAATTCGATGACTGAATGAAGGCAATGGTGCTCTGACGGGGACCGGCGGAGAAGCGGAAAGCAGGATTATGTCCGCCGTCACCGGATCACGATCCCCATAATCTCCAAAAGGATGTCTATTCTACTAGGCGATTACAGATTCATCCACTATTATATTTGTACACCGCGTCTCATGAGCAACCTTCGATCCGAACGCTGGTGAGCTTCCGTCTCCGCGAATATAGGGCCGAAAGAAGTACGGAGTGTCTTGACCTACTACTACACCTGAAGGAGCCATAGATTTTAGAGTGTATTTTGATCAAGGAAAATCAGACCGACCTGTCCTGTCCTAAGCAGGGTTACTTCTTGCGACCTTTGCGTCGTTCCGACCCAACACTTTTCTTGATGCACTCAGGACAATACCATTTGTCCGGAAGAGGCTGCTTGACCCCGACACACGAAATGTGGAACTGGACAATTTGTTGTAATCAGCAACATATTTCGTGCCAGAGAACAGCCATTATCCAGAAACAATTGTGAGGCCCACTCACCCATTGATACGGGCAGTCTGAATTATCGCATCCAATCATCTAATGATAAAAACCGTCATTAAGTGGGTTTGTTCCTTAGTTTGACGGAAAGCGATGTCGCCTCCCGACGCCGAGCCAGGGATAGATGACTTACGTCTCCGTAACTTTGTTTGTGGCAGAAACAGTACAGTGTCAAGTCTTCTTCGGCGTCCTCGCCTTCATAGTCTTCTTCGCCTTCTGCATCAGCATCCAGGTCCTCCTCTTCCTGTTGCTGGACACGGGTAGTTGTTTGGCGAGAAAGCCGGGAGCGTGAATGGGATGAAGTCGGCTGATGCGCCACAGTCGCCGGAGCAGGGCTTGGCAACTTGATGGACGTGTTGGTCGTAATACGACGTTCTGAAGTTGGGGAAGTAAATACCCATATCCATATGTTGATGCAGACACCCGCTTCGACGAGCCTAAAATGGAGCTTACTTTTATTGTATGTAGGCCCTGGCGCTGCGGGCATGGCGATGGAGGTTTCCGATTGCAAGGCACCGGTCGTATTTCGCAGACTTTCGTTGATCTGGCCGACGGGGTTGAGAACATTGAGAACATCGGCGCGCTTTCCAGTGTACGGCAGTGACAACGTCACTTGGGGGGTCGTAGAGAATGATGATGCTCGTACGTCCTCAACAGATTCGCCCTGATACAGCCTGACTTTGGTCAAATCTGCGTCGAGACGCGCCCGAGTCAGCGTGAGCAAATTGATTATACGCTGGGCGAGCACGATCTTATCGTTGTTAAGCGCGTCTATTTCTGCATAGGCAGCAGCGATGCGAGCGGGTAGGTGGGCCTTCGGATGCGCTGCTGTTGAGGTGGGGGTCGGAGATGCGCTTCTATCTTGCCCATTTGAGGACGCAACGGCTGCAGATGAAGCCCAAGAGTTTTTCAACGAAGATTTGACATATTTTGACTGGTCCCTAGCAGTATCCTGCAATAACTCTGGAGAAGAATTTTAATTTTATAGACGGCGGCGAGCGCGGGAGCCACAAAGCTTTCTCACTGACCCTGGCACTGTTGGTCTTTAATTTTTATTTCTTGAAGCAAGTGTTGCACTTCGTGTGGAAGATTATCGATGCCTGATGGAATAAGGTATCAGCTCAATTGACGGATCACGGAATGTCTTATTGACGAAAATGGACGACATCTCGACCCGGCTCCGGTGAACAGGTTGTCGAGGAGACGCATCAACTGCATTTAGAAAATGTCCTAAATGGTTGGGAGAACAGGATGACTGACTTGTTATGAATTCTGATGCTACGTTTGCGGCCTCCTCATAATTGGGGACCAGTGGAGCTACCAGGCTCATGGCGATTTGATAAAAAGTTGATCGCCACCTGCAGGTTAGTTCCTCAGTGCCGCTCAGAGATGGTTACAAGATGCCGAGCGAGGGCGATGTTTAGAAGAGAACGAAAGTCGCTGAACCCTTTCCTATGAGGTGAGGATTGATTGCAGCGTTATCTTGAGGTGGGATCACTGTGAAAGCAAAGGACAAGGTTCGATTTACGGCGTGGAAGTGGTGCACTTTCCTTTCCCACAGTGCGGAGTGCAAAAAAGTTCCCATTTCCAGTTGTTTGGCCATCATGCTGATACAGTTTCAGCTCGTTCACTAATGGTCCAGTAAATATTTTCCGCTCAAATCAAGCTTTCGTCCTGCGAAGTATGTAGCTGATATTTCTAGGTTGAAGGCCACCATGGTGGGGCAACGGCTCTATCTTTTGCTAAATTTCTGCCAACGCCGCCATGCCACCTACTAGGCACTGCCATCACTGGGGAAACACTGGCTTATTGTGGGCACTCGGAGAAACACCACACAAGTGAGATATTCCCAGAATATGACAAACTAGCCGGTCCTTTAGCAGTGGATGACACTGCATCCTGGCATCTTGCTTGGGATCATAATTACAGCTGAAGTGTAATAGGTACTAGGCGCTGGGAGCGCCAGAATGGAGCACAACGTTGAGCGAAAATATATATTAAGGGTAGCTTAATATTTCAATGTATGAGTCTCCGAAAGCCATTGGGTTTACTGAGTGATCATGGGAGGTGCTCTTGATGATATTTGCCCAGTCAAGGCATCGATTCGGACAACCATCCTTCGAAATGTTGACACGCAGGGCTAAACATCTTTTCTAAGAGTTTGGGGAACTATTTATCCAAAAGTTTCTAGTATAGTAAATTTGCGACTGCAATTCAAAATCAAAATTCAAGCGCCCATCCGGCCCGACACTCCACCATTCGGCCCGCGGCCCTCCCCCTGATCCACGTGACCCTGGAACCAGTGTCGTTCACCTTCCTCACTTCCTCAGGTTCACCACTGCCAACTGCACTGTGCAGACCACAGACCCATCTTGCCAGCTATGTTGCTGTAGGCGCGAACTTAGCAGTACTTATATATCCTCTTCTATTGGAGGCTTTTCTTCGAAAGCAGGATAACGGACCTCATTCAGAAGCCGATACGTCGCAAGGGTTTGAAGGGAGAGATTGAACTGCCGGAATGTCGTTTGAGAATGCTGCCGTCACGAAGGGTAAGCGCCTTTGTATTTGGTTCTCGCGGAATTGAACCACCCTTTATGTAGGTCTCATGGTCACGTTCGCTCTGACCTCGTTGGTTGCTGGGATTTTTGATATCAAGCACTACTTCCATCTACAAGTCGGTCTTCCCTGCCGGTGCTGCATTCAGGCTGACTTCCACTGCAGTTTGTGCCTCACATTTCTCGACATCATCAGGTATAGCCGGCACTACCCTTGTAGAATGACTGCGAGTTTGATCAGACATTTCTAGTACTGGAGACTCGTTTCCCACCACATAGCGTTCCCAAACTCAAGTGATATATTTATTGCGGAAATATTGCTTTACAATGTCGGGGTGCACATCGAGCGTCAATTTGGGAGCATAAAATATGCTGTACGCCTCTTGTTGCCTCAGTCTCGTCGATTTCACTCACGCGACTCGCAGTCATTTGCCTTCGTTTCCCTCCTAGTGGCCATTGTCTTGGAATTCATGTCCCTCGTTCTCTTTTATCGGGTCGGCCTCAACCACTTCGCTCTCGGTCCTTCAGCCCTCGTCTTCAGCATTTTGTACCAATACTCCAGAATTGTCCCACCAACCTACACTTACCGCATATTTGGGGTCCCTCTGACCAACAAATCCCCGTATTACTTTCTTGGGATGCAAGTTAGTACCTTCATTCAGATCTCCGAGGCATGAAATGCTTAATGGCATGACCTAGATTGCCTTGAGCCGCCTCCCAAGCTCCGCAGTTGTCGCGTTAATAGGCATTTTAACTGGTCAGATTTATCGCTCTGACCTGGCGAATCTCAACACCTATCGCCTACCGCCGTCTCTTATTAATTTCTCGACGCACTTCATTGGCCCTCTCATCGGCTCGCTTCGCCCGCCTCGAAGGTCAAACCGAGCTCTTCCTGATAATTTCAGTCATAATGCCGCCACTGCTGCTGCCGCACGGGCACTGAGCGAGACGATGCAGAACGAAGAAGTCATTACAACCGCAAGGACTCCGCGACCAGGACCAGCGACAAGAACGCGCGACAACATGGGTGGGGAGGAGCCAGCTGCTCCATCTGTTATGAGGGAATGGGTGGATGAATTCACAGGGAGGGCTGACCGGGCAAATACTGGTCTTCGTGTGCCCACGGAATCTGAGATAAATCACATAACAAGCATGTTTCCTTCCCTTGATCGTGAAGTGGTCATTGGTGCTCTACAACGAAGGCAAGCTTCCGGCATCTATCCTTCTGTTTTGACCAAATGCTCAATCAACACTTTATTCAGTCCAAACATCGAGGCAGCCGTAGAGACCTTGTTAACTTCGCAAACTTGATACAATCAGCAGGATGCAAGTGCAAAATGGAACCCGCGGAACAGCATCGATTCCGTATGAGGTCTACTCTTCTTCTGCTGGTTCGCTTCCTTCCTCATCCTCACCCGTGAAAGTCGACATTGGTACGGAGTAAAGGCGGATCACCGGCTGGGAGAGAAATAACATTAAGTCAGAGTGCTGGATATGAAACATAGAAGCCCAATATTCGCGTATCAGACATACATACCTTGTTAGGGTCCTTCACGAGCACATATTTGCCCTCAGGCATTTTCATGCACATATCAGTGACAGTTCGGACGATGCCCCACCCGTTGGCCAATACGACATTCAATTGGGCCGCGAAGTCGGTGGGCCGCATCGATGCGGTGCTGAGAATTACGTGACGGGTGTTATCGCGAGGGTTCGCGCGAGAAATGTATCTGCAACAGCGACGGGCATCAGTACAGGTTCAAAAGTCGAACGAAATGAAGATAAGAAATCAATCGTTATCAAAAACAAAGGCGGGAGAAGTGCATCAAAGCATGGGAAAAGATCGCTGAAGGCGCAACGAGTAAAATATGTACATGTAGAGGAGAAGAAATAACAAACAGCGAAGCGAAGTAGCAGAATCAACGCACCCGATCTTCATGAGTTCAGCTCCGGCAAGCACACTTTGCACGGTCCATTTTGCAAGTTTGCAGCTATTGTTCTTCATCTCGGTTGCAACAACAGCGCCACGCTGGGAATCCAACTTGGATCGCCAATCAGGTGCACCGCCAGCACCTTGCGCCCGAGTATCAAACTCGTTGAGAGCACGGATCGTCACTAACCCCTGACCCTCCTTGGGGTTGCCTTGGCCGGGAGAATAGGCATCCACCTCGGTACGGACGCAGATTTTAATGTCCTCATCTTCAGTAATGCCCAAATCGAAAAGCCTATATCGATAACCACAAGATGCGAGAGGCTCGGTTTCCTCCGGGCCATAGAATGGGTTGGGATTAGCAAAATCGACAGCAGGAGGTGGAGGAGTTTCAATGACTGATTGGAATCCGAAGTTTTGGTTAATGTAGGTGGCTTCCAAAGAGAGAGATGTCGCAGTGTTTATAGATGCCGTCTCTGGAGTCGCTGCTTTTGCAGTTGGATCGTTCGGGTTGGGTGGGGTAGGGTCTTGAGGTGAGTCAGCCGCGTTCTCGTTGACCGTGACGGTGTCAAATGGTCCACCGTCCCGCTTGTCGAAGAATAGGGCGTCGCCTTCGCGAACAATAACAATATCCCATGGGTAGACTGAGCGAGGAGCGCACATCAGAACGCTGAGAATCGCATCAGTGGTATAGACTTTCGCGACGTTTTGTTGTGCAAGCTGGAAGAGTGATCGTTAAAATAGAGGCCTTCGGGAAGAGTAAGAAGCATTCCCGCACCCGTTGGATGACGGGGTCGTCTGATGTCGTCGTATTGTATTTAATCCTATCCACCAATTGAAGAGGCCTCTCCGTCTTCGTCGTTACTCGGTCGTAAGACTTATCGTAGGCGAAAAGTCGACCATAAGATTCTCTAAGCAGATCATCAGGGTTTCGTGGAATACTGAGAGGTTGCGATATGAACTCACAACTCGTCGGGTTCATCAACCTCGAGGCGCAGTTTGGAAAGTCGATGAAATTCAATTTCCTCGAGCATGCTCCATTCAGGTGAAATAACCACTGATGCCTCTCGAGCACGATTATTCTACAATCAAGAAGTGAGTTACCTGATCCGTTCTTGAGAGAATATACACACTTTGTCCCAGTCCCTCCAGCCTCTCCTCTGTCCCCCGCCGCGGTTGTTTGCGCCGCCCCGCAAAGCCGGCCCACCACGAACTCCTCTTGTTGTTCCGCGTGTGTTGTACGCAGAGGTTCCTCGAGCACCGCCACGGCCACGATTGAAGCCCGTTCCACGACGAGCAGGGGCGGCCTTGTTGTCTACTAACGAGAAGGAAGACTCGTCTTCAACATGGAAATAAGAAAATGCACTGGCAGTTCCACTCCCAAATGCTTGGGTTCCATCGCGGCGACGCCCACCAGGCCCTCCTCCGCGAAGATTTTGAGCAGGAGGAATACCAGCCGCTGTCTGACGATTATCGGATGAGAGATCGTTCCAGTCCGCAAATCGACCAAGCTTGTCAGATTTTGAGTACGGAGCGTAAGGGATGTCCTTGAACTTGAATTGATCAGGGATGTTGGACGTTGAAGGGCCCCATCCACCGTCGGGGTTGTCGTGAATTGGAGGCAAAGAAAATGAAGCCATGTATCTCGACGGTATATGATGAACGTTCCCGAAAATTTAGAGATCAGAGACCGTAAGTACGAGCGTGGGAAAGACATCCTTGTCTATTCGCAATGAAGTCAGTCCGCCTTCGTTTCGTCCTCAGAACGATGCTCATACTGTCTCTTGTTCAGCGTCGTGAAGGAAATCAACAAGATAAACCAGGCCGAACTCGACCTCGGACTCAGTGGCGCGTCATGGCACGATGAATACAAAGATTCCGCATACATCTTTGTTGGTGGTCTTCATTTCGACCTCACTGAAGGCGATGTCATCACCATCTTCTCCCAGTGAGTTGAGATTACACCGTCTTATCAACTATCACTCATCAGTACAGGTATGGGGAAGTCATGGACACCAATATGCCCCGCGACAAGGAGACAGGCAAGCCACGAGGATTTGCTTTTCTGATGTACGAGGATCAACGGTCCACTGTCCTGGCCGTTGACAACCTTAATGGAGCCCAAGTCTTGGGAAAGACACTCCGGGTCGACCATGTCAAGAATTACAAGCAGGCGAAGTTCAAGAACGAGAATGGGGAATGGGTTGAGCCTGAGGAACAGAGTCTCAACGCCAAACCGCAAATGATTGAAGGTGGAGATTCCAATATGCTGCCGCCTCTTCCTTTATATTCCTGACGCCGCTATTGTAGACGCTGGAGCAGAATCTGTTTCGTCAGCATCGTCAGGGCCTGACATAGACCCCGAGGATCCTATGCGCGATTATTTGATTGCGAAGAGGAAAGAGGAAAAAGCTCTAAAGAAAGCGAAGAAATCCAAAAGCAAAGGGAAGCATAAGGATGAAACACCAGAGGAGCGGAGGGCGAGAAAGGCACGGAAGAAAGAGAAAAAGGAAGGAAAGATGAAATCGGTAGGCATGAAGGGGGTTGAAGAATTGTTGAACTCCCTAGAAAGGCGAGACTTGGATGCCTCGCATTCAGGTCGCTCTCCAGATAGGGAACCTTGGTCTCGCTCTCCTGGCCGTGAACGCAGGAGCTCGTCCCCTACGCGACGTTCGCGCAGTCGTTCTCCACCGCGGCGGCCTTACCGAGATGAAGATCGACCTCATAAGCGTTCTCGGTAGGCCATTCTCACAGAGAGCAGGGGAGAAGTTCGAAGGACTACCGAAATCATGATGCATAGCATGCTGTGAGCTGAATGTCAGATAACTAGTTAAACATATTGATTTCCCTCCAGATCCTCCAGTGCTATAATTGTTCTGAAACGCAAATATTTCTTTGATTTCCTGTTCCGCGAGACACCACTGAAAAATAGGCCATGAACTGACATTGCAAAGTCTTTATAGACAGACATTGAAAGCTTTCGAATCAAGCTGATACTCGAAGGCAGGATGCTCTTTCAGTTGCAGTACAAGTATGAAGTTGTCATTCGTTTGAACGACTCCCGTCTACACGCGTGAAGAAGGTCTTGTATAAAGGATAGTTAAATGAGTCTTTCTATTCATCTAATCGGTAAATACGTCGATCTGCGCATGCGTTTGTCTTCATAAACGCCTAGTGTTGAGCATCGCCTCTGGGCTCTTTGGACGGAGGGAGAGATCGAATAAAACAAAGCTTAGGACGGGCCCGAGGTGAAATTAAGCTGCTGACGAGCCTGGGCAGCATTTCGCGACACAGGTCTACACGCCAGTACAGTATCTCCTTGGGCAACAATCTCAGTTTTTTTTTCCAGAGCTCGGATGCATGGGCCAGCTGCGTGTCGTGCAAAAACGTGTACGATGCCCTGATATCCTGGACGGTGGGTGGGTTCTGAGGCGCACTGGGGACAACAACACGTTGTCGCGGCAAGTATTGGTAACATCTAGCGCAAGGATCACGTTCATTTGAGAAAGGTGCTGCCACTGTCGTCGGTGTGACGAGCGAGTGACCCTTTGCAAACGCTATATTGACGCCGCGGTGGTATTGTGATGGTCACGTTCCTCACCTTCTCTTGTTCTCGTACCCTATATTCTGGTTCTCTCTCACTCTAATTTCTCTAAGCGCCTGTAACATAGACAGTTGGGGTAGGTCTTGTTCTCGAATATCTTCTAGCCTACGAAGCCGCTCACCAAGCTTTCGAACTGGAAGCTGCTAAATTACGACGTGCCCAACCCGACATTCCTTTAACACACTAGACACCCACGCCTTTATCACTACTTTACCTTTTTTTCAGTATATCCATATGGAAAATTTTCTGCCTCGGCGAGTTCTCCATGGGCCGATGAAGAGGTACGTCCGACTGACCTCGATGTCCGTCTTCTATTGTACTGATACGCGACGCGTCAGAAATGTTAATACCAGCCTCGCCAGGCGACAAGAGGACTGCGAGCCCGCCGATCCTGCAAACACCGTTACAGACCGTCTGAACAACCTCCTGAGGCGTGGTGGAGATGGCTACGTGCTGCAACTTTGCCCCAATCAAGTTTATCTCATCCAAGCACCCATCGCCTTCGCGTATCCCAACCAGGAGATAAGCACCGCCGGATACCCGACCGACGCTGAACGCGCTATCCTCGCTGTTTCTGGACCTGTGGCTGACGGAAAGGGACACACGACGGCGGTGGATGGGACTTGCAACGACTGCAATGGTGTAAAGCTTCGCAATATTCAGGTATGCAGATTCTTTTCTCGCCGTGTTCGTCGCTGAATTAGGCCCGTTTTCGTATGACATAGATTGACGGCGCACGTCGAGGCGCACGTTCGACCCAGGGTGGAGGGAACATTGAATTCGGTGGCGATAACTCCGACCAACTCATTGAATATGTCCGTTCCTACGACCCTAGGGGTTGGTCGTGTCTTCACGTCGCGGAAGGCCCCTTCACCTGCAAGGGCATCACCATTCAGAACAACGACCTTGGTCCATGTGGATCGGAGGAATTTCAGGAGTGGGCCGATGGCGTTAGCTTGAGCTGTCGTGATAGCATCGTCAAGAACAACTTAATTCAAGGCGCAACGGATGGTGGTATCGTAGTCTTTGGCTCTCCTGGAAGCCAGATCACAAACAACACAATCTGGGTTCTCAATGTAATTTTTTTCTCTCTCGAAAAACTTCTACGTTTTGACATGATTTTAGCAAACACTCCTTGGAGGTATCAATATGGTTGACTACGACCCATGGGGTGGCGATTACACGGGGACTGTCGTTCGGGATAACCTCATTCTGGGTGGATTTGCCAACGACGAACCCGACGACAATGTAAAAGGCAACAACCTTCAGAATGCCATCATCAAGTGAGTATGCTCATCCATTCCCTGAATCCCTTCAACGTTTTCCTCAGGATTGGGATTGCCATTGGCCCTCGCAGCTGGTTCGGAGATAGATTTGGGAACAATGTCGCCCGAAACGGCGTCGTCTGGGGCAACAAATTCTCTGGTGCATTCAGTTATGGAATCGCCATAACATCCTCGGAGGGCTTCGTTGTGCAAGATAATACCATGATTGGGAACACCTCCTTCATTGGCGCCCGTGGCCCTTACTGCAAAGATGACGACATCGTTCCGAACCCTGCACCGTTTATTGTTGATCTACAAACTACAAGGGCGGCTACCTTGCAAGCTGGCTTCGAGCCTATCAAAGATGGAGACTCTCTGACTTGCGTCCTCCCACCCAACGGTGGGGACTTCTGGCCATTCGGTCTCAATCCCTCCAACACTTCTGCTTCCACGTCCACTTCCACTTCCACTTCAACCAACGGGACATCTTCGGACGCCACCACCAGTGCTGCAGCGTCTTCCAACAACTCCACTGGTATCGCTGTCGGCATCGTTGTTGCTCTCGTGGCCTGTGGGGTGATAGCTTGGTTCGTTCACAAGCGAATCGCCGCTCGGAGGGAAAAGACGCAGCTCTTCAACGCAACCAAAGGCTACAATCATAACAACGAATATACCCAGAAGATATCCTAAGCCTCCCCCTCACCATCATCTATAATTTTAGCGAGAGAAGCTCTTCATTCTTTTCTGGAGGTCCTTGCATTACTAGGGAGTACCATATCTGCCAACTTTTTATTTACGACACTAAATACTATACCTATCATTACCTTTACCCTGCACTATACCGACATATTCGCGTAGACATGACTATGTATTCATCTGCCCTGTATTACCATCTTCAACTTGAAACTAAGTATTGAACGACAGATGTCCGAGTCACGTGGTATGCATCACAATTGGCTGACACTGCTCATGACACACGGCTCTCTCTTGTGTTTGCACCGCAAACTGCGACAACGGCCATCCCATTTGCCATTGAACTGGAGTTTGCTCCCCTCTCGGACATCATATATCCCATACTTTATCCCAACCTTTCCCTGACTGACCATGGCCTCTGGAAATGCGAATGGGTGTGTCTTTTCGCCCTTCGGAGTTTACTTTCCATAACCTCCTCTGTTTCTAGATATCTAGGCGTAACACCTCCTATATCCACTGCAGAGTCGACAGAAAGAGAGAAGGAGGTTACAGTGTCTCTCATGGAGGAGCTTAGACGGCAGAATACATTCGAGTCGGAAGAAGAGGCGAAAACGAGGTGAGCCTTTGTTCCTGTTTTGTCGACCAGCATACCCCAGGATGTTCGATTATGAATTATCGTGAACGCCCAGAAAGAACGTCGTGAACTTGCTTTTTCTTGTCTCCGTGGCACTGGAACGAACCACCACACAAGCGAGCTGCTCTGAGCATTTCACTGCATCTGGGGAAAAGATCTACTTGCCATTTCGCCTCTTGTCTCTGTGCGCTGACTCTCATTTGGTGCTGTTGTCATAGAGAAATCGTTCTCGGCCGTGTTGCTGCACTTGTGACAAAATTCGTCAAAAAAGTCTCATTGGAACGTGGCCTTTCGGAGGCAGCTGCGAATGCAGCAGGAGGCAAAATTTTCACCTTTGGTTCCTATCGACTAGGCGTGCATGGACCAGGAACCGATATCGATACCCTTTGTGTTGTTCCCAAACATGTCTCTCGCGAGGACTTTTTTGATGTGTTCGAACCAATGCTCAAGGAGATGGAAGGAGTGACGGAAGTGTCGGTAAGACTTTTCATTTGTTCGATTCTTATCGCGCGCATTGGGGTTCACCATGCTCTAGGGTGTGCCTGAAGCCTACGTCCCCATCATCAAGTCAGAAATCTGCGGAGTGCAGCTGGACTTCCTCATGGCGCGGTTAGCTTTGTCATCGGTACCGGACAATCTGTCATTAAAGGATGACAATCTCCTGCGTAATTTGGACGAGAGATGTGTTCGAAGTCTGAATGGTATGACACTTTGTAATCCACCCTACCAAATTCTTATGTCTCCCTTTCTCAGGCTCCCGAGTCATCGACGAAATACTCCGGCTGGTCCCTAATGTGCAAGTGTTTCGTGACGCACTGCGATGTATAAAGCTGTGGGCCCAAAGTGAGCCAAGGCCGAGTTTCAGTCAGACTCTGTTCTCAGGCAATATACGTAGAGAGGGCCATTTATTCGAACGTCAACGGCTTCCTGGGTGGAGTTGCTTGGGCACTTCTGGTGGCGCGAATATGTCAGCTATATCCAAGCGCCATCGCTGGTGCCATTGTCTCCCGGTTTTTCATCATCATGTATCAATGGTGCGTCCCCTCTTTTGCCTCTTAGGTCTGGCTATAAATTATGCGCTTAGGTCGTGGCCGCAACCCGTGCTGTTAAAGCAAATAGAAGAAGGTCCACTGCAGGTCCGGGTCTGGAATCCGAAGGTAGATTGTTGCCTCAATATACTTCTCAAACTCATGTCGTATTCAGCTTTATCCCTCCGATCGAGCACATCGAATGCCGATTATTACACCTGCATATCCAGCTATGTGTGCTACTCACAATGTAACAGCGTCAACGCAAATGATTATCACCGAAGAGTTCAAGAGGGGTATGCGTTGAGTATCGCTCTCGGAAATAATTGACCTAACACGAAGCAGGAGCTGAAATCGTCGACCGAGTGATTGTTGGACGGGCTGAATGGTCCGAATTGTTTGCGAAACATGACTTCTTCCATAAATACCGATATTATTTGCAAGTCATTGCGTCGACAGGGAATCAAGAGCTGCAAGTGAAATGGTAAGTGGTGAAGGCAAGTTTGGCCATTTCTTGGATGTGATACCCCCACAGGTCTGGCACCGTCGAATCACGGCTACGGCAGCTAGTTATGAAACTCGAATATGTTGACTCTTTAGTTCTTGCCCATCCCTTTGTCAAAGGTTTTGATCAGGTGTCTTATTGTCTCAATGAAGACGAAGTTCGTTCTGTCGCTCAAGGGGAGATTTCCGATGCCATTGCTAGCCGGAAAAAGGAAGACATTGAAGGCAAAGAAGGTGCCGGACCTGTGTACTCAACCACGTTCTACATCGGATTGGCCATTGAGCCTAAACAAGGTGCGTTTTCCTTTGTCCATTCCTGACTTTCAGGTGGTTGAATACCGATGTGAAGCTGGAGCAACCGGGCCCCGAAGACTTGACATCTCATATCCAACGACTGAATTCACCAAGCTAGTAAAGATGTGGGACAAATTCGATGAAGCCACCATGGGTATCGTAGTTCGACACATCAGGAGGCTCGTATTGTCGAGGTTGAATGAATGCTTCTTGTAATTGACATCTTTTTGCCACAGCTCTGGTCTGCCAGACAACGTCTTCGATCCAGGCGAGAGGCCTGCGAAACTCGCCCAGAAAAGGTCGAAGGTGAGTGGCTTGTCCATGACACGCCGCATATCTTATCAAAATTCGATCCTCTGTCTAAGGGATCGAGCAAGTCAAACAACACTCCGCCAGACATGCCCAACAAACGCCAACGGTTGGTCTCCGCGAATCAACTCGCACACTTATTCATTAATACACCGCATTTGTGTCTCGTTTTCTGAAGGTCCTCCCAGTCGACAGCGGATCTATCGATCAAGTCCGAGAACGGTTTATCGGCGACCCCAACACCGTGTCTGCCTCCTGTTGCTAAGACCTTGGGCCAGAAAGAACGGTCAGACATCAAGACACCGCATCTACCCTTTGGAGAAAATGTCGCTGTCGCGACAGGACCTGTCGGTGCTCAATAGAATTCGACCCCAGCTGACTGGAAACTTTGAAGAACGAACCCCACCAACCCTAGAATTGAATGGCACTCCAGAGTGCCTGGGAATCTGTCTAACAGCCATACGACTTTCTGCATCGGTACTTCGTTCATTTATCTGTTCGTTCTAACAGGGACCTTGCTTCAGAAGTCTCAACTTAGGGCCCTTGGGAACCTGGGTCGAAGAACTTTTACTGGGCCCATCTCTCTGAACTTCCTATGGCGAGATGGATCGCCCTTCGGTCGTTTCTTCCCTGACCCTGCTGTTTTGGGCCCCTATTATATGACTTACACCATACAGCCATTTTATTGCTCCTTGTATCTTCACAGAAGTTCTCGTATATACCGAGAAGACCAACTGTATATTATCAAGAGTATATTATAACCATTTTGTGCCACAAAGTCGATGTCCTCCAGGAATATGACTGCCAGTGGAAGACACTGTATACGAAGGACGAACTTCAGATAAATGGCAAATTGCACACAGGTGCCAAGTCGAAGAAGAATAGTTGGATACGTCTTTATCGTAAAGAAGTCAGCAAGATGAGAAAGGGTGTGAAAAAAATCTTGTATGATTATGGTAGGGTTTGTGGGGATGACGGACTCGGTATCTACATGGAAGCTCATAGCGAACTTACGGGGTCCTAGGGCACGGCATGGCATTCACTTAGCGCTCTGCATCTTCTCCAAAAAGGACGCACGATCGACAGCGTGTGTTACTATGCACGAAGAAGGGAAGGTCAATTCCCCGGCTTCATAGTCGTCCCGACTCAGGAGGGCCGGTTAGGTCTGCCTCGACGGGCGTTTTTCTCCCCTTTTGTCTTTCATTTGTTGCTACAGACTACAGTTGGAGGCAGGATGCCGAACGAAGCAGGTCTTCTTACATAAGAAATGAGTAAAAGGATATCGATTTCCTCTCCTGTTGGATGGTCGAGTATGAGCGAGTTCGTCCGTGTCGACCTATGAATCGAACGAGATGAAAACAGGCCGTGAAAGGGAGGATCTGCGAAGACGTACCATGCTTCCTAAAATTCCTTTGGGGTAGGATCGTCGATGGCACTTGTGCAAGACCCTGCACCGTTTGTATAACGGATCGGAGTACATATCGAGATGACGATTTTGTGAAATTCAGGAAGTGCACAAGCTTGCACAAGGGCTGGTTGACAAATCGCCGACGATTGCGATGGGGAGCAGGACCGGACGGACCGTCCTAAGCGGTCGACACGAAGTTTCGTGCCTGCATGGCCTCCAGGATGCGTAGCGACCTGGCCTTCGAAGCTTCTTTCGCGCGACCTCCGACATTCGCGAGTATGAGAGTAGAACGAAGATATTTTTTCGACAGTGACCAGATAGCGGTGGCGGACCTCGGCTTGAGGGCTCGAGATATGAGAGCTTCACATGGATTCAATTGCAATTCAAAACCAGGTGCGAGGTGAGGCTACCCTGCAAGGTCTGGTCAGGCGTCAGCAGGATTCGGTGAAAGTCGGCAAAAGTGCAGACAGAAGTCTGCAGGTGGTATCGCGTCCAAAGGGCTTTCTTTAGGAGGCACAGGCCAAGGATTTCTTGTCGAGCCTTGCACGCAGAGCTGCCAGCCTTCCCAAATGCTGCTTCGCCGACATGACCCGTTATGCGCGACAAAGTAAAGCTGCCTGCCGCCAGAAAGATGCTGGAGCCCGGCGGATCTGCGAAATCGTCTTTTTCCGAATTGTTGGCATCTTGGAGAGAAATGAGGAAGCAAATGAATTCTCCCGAAAAATCCTTTGTCGCATTCGCCGAGGTAAGGGTTCCGTAGGAGCTTACACAGTGCCTTTTTCACAAAGAGGCTTTAAGGGCAGAGTAGATCCCAGATGGTCGACGTCAAGAATCAAGAAGGTCTACAGGGTTTTACAGCTGTTTCGGAAAACCTTGAGAATCGTGTTCTTTTTTTTTGGCGAGCGGCCAGGGACCGGCGCCGAGGGCAACAGCTTTGATGTCGGTCGTTGACATAGTCCCCGACTAATCTAACGAGATAAAATTAGACCTTTCACGGAATTACTTGCACCAGAAAGCGTAATTACATCCTGATTTTGTACCAAAGAGTTACTGAACGTATTCCAGAAGCAATCTATATTTTTTCTTGTAATCGAAGGGCAGGAGGCATTTTGAAGAAATCTAATCTCTCTGCCTGATCAGGACCGTCGCGAACAGCCGTGACGGGATCAACGCTTGGTCAGCTCGTGCCGCCTAGCCGCAAGCCCAAATCTGGGCAGACCCTGGCAGGGGCCGCGCAAAAAAAGAAAAGGTTGGTTTTCCGAAACAGCTGTAAACTTTTGCATAAAAGATTGAACACTCGGATTTTTCCCGCGTATCACGTGCAACCTTTCCCAGCACGTTACCACGTAGATAACAGCTCTGCTGAAGCATCTACAAGTCTCAGATGCCCCAATTTTAAGCATTTGATGTGAATTATATTATATCCCTTAGCGGCGCCATAGCGCCAGTCCCCGGCTCTGTCCTTCGCATGCCCACGGAATTACCAGTTCTTGCCATGCTAGGGATTTCTTTTTAACTTACCTTGACTTAGGTATTCAGGTATAATTTATCTACAGTTCCAGCCACCTACCCTACACATCAAGCGGACGAGTTTCGAGAGATGAGTGGAGACAATAATGGCACCTCAATCTTATCTTGATCTTACCTTTCGAATTTTATCTGCTCGGGAGTTGACGGAGCACCTTTATTCTCACACGTCTGATGCAAGTCTTTTGGCAGACGGGCGTCATGATCTTGAACCACAGACCCTCCCTGTCCTTCGGACAGAGCCGGGGATGTGAGAGAGGCGCCGAGATGAGCATGGTATAGTGGTGCTGGATGAAATAGTGTCAACGGCGTCGATGAGATTGTGCGTCCGGATTTGGACAGGATCAACCTATTTTTAGCTTAACTCACGATCCGACGAGTTCAACACCATGATCCTGGGGCAAGTCTTGTCCACTCCAAGCAGGTATCTCTCAATAATATTAATACTGAGGGTTGGAAGACATTTCTGGTGGTACACGACGGCAGGAATGGTGCAAGTCGGGTACGTAGATTAGATCTACCCGACGTGGGAGCCCGCACGTGATGCGCTGAAAAAAATGTGTTCAATCTTTTATGCAAAACCCTGTAACGTATCGGAGCCGCCAACTTCGTCATGATGATGCCGAGTTGCATCAATCATAAATTCTTTCAATTGACCTTATCCTCCAACAATAAGTCAGTAAGCTTTATTCGATGACTCTCCTTTGAGAAGCTGCATTCGCTCAACAATGGCCCCTTGAACCATGGCTTGAGAAAGGGATTTGTTGCTAGTCAACGTTATTGTGAGTGTTGTCACGGCTTGACGTATAAGTAAAGGTGCGCTGCCACTTCATTCTTCACAAACTTCACCATTGCCACAGCCCAGTGGTATAACGCGCATCTCCACTTCAGGCCCCTCGCAGAGCCAGTTCCTCAAGACACATTTCCCTGACACTAGTCAGAGTATCGAGCGATGGCACCGTCCACGCGGGCATCCTCTGCTCAGAATACGCCGAACACGCGAAGCAAGGGAACCCCATCCGCCGTCGAAACACCCACCGATACACCCACCAAACGCGCATATACTTGTAGGCAATGTAAACGACCCAAGAAGGGCGACCATCCGCGTTCAGGATGCCCATATGTCAACGATACGGCCTCGGAAGAGGAAGATATCCCAACATCCACCGAACCCTTGACAAACGCATTGGGGTCGATGAAACTTAATTCGCCTATGCCTCTTCGAACAGAGGAAGACGACCAGGCGTTTAAACGCAATCGACGTCGGCTGTCCGCGCAGCCGCCAATAGTACGCAGTGAGAGCCTTGTTTCGCTCTCGACGAACTCCAGCGACTTGGTAGAGCGTTTGGCCACCTTGAACGACCATTCCGATGAAGTTAACGGGAAGGTCACCAAGGTCGTCCGCTGGGAGGACACGATTGTCGCCACTCCGAAGAAGCAGAAATCTGCGCGGTCTCCGATGCCAGGCACGCTCATTCCGCCAACCCCAGATAGCAGCTTCGGGTCCTCACTGGGCTCTTTCGCGAAGCAAGAATCCCCCGGTGTCCATCTCGCGGCCATCTCAGCCACCGAATATTCCTCCGAAGGAAGCACCTCTTCAGTTGCACCACCATCCCCCTCCCCGACACCGCGTGCTCAGCCCCTTACACGGACGATGAGCGCCGTAGAGCGCGACTTGTTCGTCTCCAAACTCACCAGCGAGACCGCCGCCACGATTTACACGATCCCCAAGGCCGACATCCGCTCCATCCAGGAACAGGCCACCGCACTCAAGTTCATTGCCTGCACTGTTATGAATAATGATCCTACCGACCCTCAGGCCCTGCTAATTCTTGGACGCGAGGAGGAAGCGGTGCAAAAGCTGAGGCAGAGGATCGAGGAGGAGAACAAGAAGGCTGGGAAGGGCAAGGCGTCAAGCCCGTCCAAGGTTGCTGCGTTGAGGGCTGCTGCAGGTGGTGCTGTTATTGGTGCTGTTGGGACTTTTGCTGGTCTTGCTTTCTCTTGAGCTTTTTTCGCGAATTTCTGGGTTTCCCCATCAAGTGTCCTTCATCCGAACCCTCTCAGTTATCAGTCTTTCGGTCAACCCTAATCTCGCGACATACCTTTTCACTGCCTCACCCGACCCTCTTGACACCTTGTTCAGTACTGTTCAGTACTCTTCCCTCTCTCCTGCCTCAATCGTGTTTCATATCGCTCTTCAAGCTTCATCGGACACCCGCAATCAAGTTTTCTTCTTTCAGGTTAGCAAGCTGTCTAACTGTATTACCACAGCTGTGCATCCAAATTCCCTCCTGCCACCGTAGTTATACCTATCTCAGTATACGGTACCCTGTATATGTGGTAAAGCACACAAGTCCTCATGTTTTACAACCCTCACAATGAACTTTATTTTACGTCTTGAAGCTCTACTCCCGCCCAATATTACTACCGATGTCAGATACTAGGAAGCAAGAGCTGCGCTTTGGACTGCGCCCTGTACATCTTCACCCTGCTCCTGCCGACGCTCACGTTTTGCTACAAGCCAAGGCCACATTCCGTCGTTCCCGGGAGATAGCTACATGGCAGATTAATATCAACGAGATACGTCTAGTAAAGGTCTGACTCTCACTTGCGTCTAGATCCGATGGTCGAAAACACCACTCCTAGGATCCTTGTACCTCTACGAACCCCCTCCGTACTATCTTCGTTCTTTCGTTGCTTCTTTCTATTTGTTGGTGTGCTCAGGTCAGAAGATCCTTGTATGCTAGCAATAATTGCCACCCCAAGCTCTGAACTTGGCACTGTAGTGAGATATTCTTGGGGCAGTCTAGGCAAAACTGAATCCATCAGAAGCTTACTTTCGCTCTCAGACTTGGAACAAATAGAAGTGTACTTGCGATTTGTCCCGGATGGCAAAAAGCAATGCACAAGTCTGCATATGCCACTTCATTTTGACCAGTCGAAAGTCCGACATGTATGTAGAGGAGTCATAGACAACACCATCGGTATCGAGGTCGTCGAATGTCTACACTGCCGATGAGCCTTTTGCGCTAGGATTCAAAACCCAAGGAGCCGAGGCGGCCATGTCGGAGGATGCCTCAGGCTGGAGTGGGGGCTGTGTGCTGCGCAGCGGAATCATGGGGCGTCGACGTCGACTACTATATTTGGATCGCATGTGCTTCACACATTCGTTTCGGGCTTGAGAACGTTTATATAGGCCCAGCATTATCGCACAACCCCCTGTCCATCTTCCTCCACAATGTCCTACAACGGCAGCGACAGCAAGGCCCGTGCACACTCGCCCTCTGAAGGCAACGTCGTTGATCACCATGCGGCGGGTGGTGAGTTGGTTTCGAGCCTGTTTGACCTTTCAGTGCTTAGATATATATGGTGGGGAAAGTCACAGAGGAAGTTCCTGTAGGACCGCGAAGGGAGCCGCATGCGAAGGATACGATGATCCAGGTGCAGCCGTTGAAGCGTAGCGAGATGCAGGTGCGTATTATATCTCGCTCTTTCGTGCGTTGGAAACTAAGAGCTCCTCTACTAGCCTTCCTATGCTCAGGATCTTGGAACTGGTGGGGTTACCCATGGAGTATACGGATCCCTCTTGCAAGGATTGGGCTCAATTGTTGGTTTCTTCGGAGCCATTCCCTGCTGCCCATGCCCCAACCCATTCCGAGAAGTCAACCAAGGCATGTTTCTTCTTGGTCGTTGGTAGGATCCGGACTAATGTACTTCAAGGCGCTGTCGGACTCGTCTCGCGTTTCGGACAATTTTACAAGTCTGTGGATCCCGGTCTTGTGCAGGTCAACGTCTGTACCGAGTCTCTCCGCATCGTCGACGTCAAAATCCAGATCAGCCCCATTGGTAGGCAGATGGTCATGTAAGTGCTCATTCCCGTGGTAAAGTCACTTGCAGTCCTAAAAATACCTCTCTAGCACCCGCGATAACGTCAATGTCGAAATGTAGGTCTACTACATGCTCCTATTATACTATCATCTAATGTCCTGCCGTTTTTTCCAGCGACTCCGTCATCTATTTCCAGATTTGCAGCCCTTACCGTGCAGCGTTCGGTATCACGGACCTCCGCCAGGCTCTCATCGAGCGTGCACAAACGACTTTGCGACATGTTGTTGGTGCCCGGGCCGTCCAGAGCGTCGTAACCGAGCGTGAGGCGATTGCGTACGAGATTGCCGAAATTGTGGGCGACGTCGCAGACAAGTGGGGTGTAGCTATCGAGGGCATCCTCATCAAGGACATCATCTTCAGCCCTGAGGTCTCAGCGTCCCTGTCGTCCGCTGCCCAACAGAAGAGGATTGGAGAGTCCAAGGTTATTGCTGCTCGTGCAGAGGTCGATGCTGCTCGTCTCATGAGACAGGCTGCTGATATCCTCGCCTCGCCTGCCGCTATGCAAATCCGTCAATTGGAAGCACGTGAGTATTCATACCATTTCAGCTGTTCAAAGTCTCACCGCTTTTCCCAGTGCAACAAATGGCCAAGTCAGCCAACAGCAAAGTAGTGTTCGTGCCAATGCAACTGCAGAGCGACGTAACCAGCCAACTCTCCGGAGCCTCTGGCTCTGGCTCTGGGCTAGGCACCATCGTACAGAACGAGTCTGCTGCCGACACAAACAACCTCGGCAATGCCGGTCGTGTGGGCATCTTGAATAGCATCGCCGAGGTGTAGGCGGGTTTCTACTACCTACCTACTACCATCCTTTGCCCTCTCTCTCCGCTCCCCCCATGCTCTACTCCGCCGTTTTTTGTAGCATATATATCCCCCTTCGCGCCTTTAATCTCCTCCTATTTGCTCAGGTTTATCTGTTCAAGCATATGCCTTTATTCCCCACGATTACGTCCTCGATACCGTTACGCGTTGCTTGATTACCCCTTCAACCTCTGTACAGTATGTAGTTCCTCCATCGTGCAATGACATCTCCGCCGCTGTAGATACTATGAGTATCTTGTTGGCATATTTCTCCAAATAGTGCTGAGGGTCATTAGAATAACCCACCTGAAGGAAACCAGCATCCATTGAACTAGAAGATGGTTCAAGACAACTTCAATTCCGAACTTCAACGACAGAAAATGAAATGCGAGTAGTGGGACCCCGAACAACAATAAGAAGGATCCAACGAATAGCCCTGCCGTAGGCCCGGTCAATTGAAGTATGACACGCTATCCCACCCGTTCAGCCGCAAGATTCGTTGAGATTGGTAGCTACGTACTGCCCAAGAATGGAATTTTTGACATATGGAAGCCCTTTAGATTCCCTCCAAGCTTCCAGAACGACCACACGTATGTCACCTATAGTTCAATTGGGGTCTTGCGGTTCCCGACACTGTCAAGCTGTCATCCTGGATACATTAAGGCCACATTTTATGTAGCGTGGGTATTCTGATCCAACGTCATACGAACCAGAATTCGCAGAATTCATAAGAAAAAAGGCTGGGAAAGGTACACAGGAACTTCAGCTTTTCCGGGTTCGTTTGGAGCGCCAGAAGGGTGCCATGAGGAGGGAGGAAAACGCCGTCACCCTCCGAGATTCTCGATTCGCTCATGGATCTCGACGAAGAGTTCGGGAGGGAGAGAGGCACATTAGAGATCTTCATGGTAAAGTTGAGCTCAAAATAGCATGAAGGATGTGGCACATGCTGAAGGGCCCTCTCTGGGCCCGTCAACCTTCGTCTTCGGCGCCGGCGCTGCTGCGCGATTCCAATTCCAAGTGGTGCATATGCAAGAGCTTACAAGCTCCCTTCAAGTTCCTCCGAGTCGGAGTTTGTCAAGGGCCTTTGAGGGGCCCGTAGAAGGGTGTACTTGGTTCATTTGGAGAGAAGATGAGGTCTTGCGGAGGAGATTGCGTCTGGTAAGTGGCAGGTTGTGTGAGCGCTGCGCTGCGGGCGGGAGCGTCGGGTAAGTCGGGCTGCAGTCGGCATGGCCAGCGCCCTGGGTGGTGCCGTGTCGACTTGACATCCACGTTATGCTATAGAATGGATCTAGGGACTGTTCAATGTTGGGCGAGTGAAAGGAAGGGATGTCATAGTTGTGTTTGACAGCCTGCAAAACATGGACAACTTATGCAGTGATCTGTACCAGCTTCTCGAGACCCCGCCAGCAGCATAGCTTTAAGGTTATTGGGGTATGCATACATACCATGTTGTGTTGAAGTTGACAACTCCGACGGGTCTTCGCACCCAGTTGCTGGCTAGAGCTTCCACGCTGCTCATTAATTACGCAAAAAACACCAGCCAACCAGGGATGAATACCCGTAGACGGTTCGCTCTCGCTGGGCGCTCTGAAGAATGGAACTTCCGGGTCCGACCTATCATTCCTTGTCTGCTCAGCGCACCAGTTCCTCCACCAGGTTGCGAACGGCGACTGCGTCGGCCCGCCCTCTGCTCTGCTTCATGACATAACCGACGATCTTGTTCAGAACGTTCCTGTTACCTGCCCGGAGGGCGGCGACCTCTGACGGTAGAGCGGTGATGGCTGCTTCGCAGAGTGATTGGAGTTCCGGCGAAGCTGACCCCTTCCCTTGCGACGAAGGAGAAAAGGACGGGCTCGCCGGTAGCGCGATGAGTTCGAGCCCCGTCGCAATTTTCGTTGGCGAATCGGAGGAAGGGCTGGAGAGCATGTGCCGTAGCAGGAATTTCCCAGAGGTGCCTGTGATAGATTTGCTCTGCACAAGGTCAATGAGCTCGCCAAGCTGAGAGACGGTCAAGGCGTTATCGCTGAATGTCTGTTTTCTGGCAGTAAGTTGTCCGAGAAGCTCGTGGGTCAACCTGTACGCACGTTGGTGTCGGTTCGGATAGGGGATAAATGGATATGCTTACCAGTTCAGAACGACCACCGGGTCTCTTTTAACCGTTCTGCCATCTGCTCTGGCCTCTCGACATAGGCTTTCAAAGTAACCAACGACCCCACCACTATCTTCTCCATCAAAACCAACATCGCGTCCATTGTCGACGTTCAGAAGGACGTCGAGACTTTGTTCCTTTGCACCGAGTTGAGGATATTGCTCAAGCAACCGAGAGCGTTTTTCCCATGGCAAGGCAGGCAGCATTTTTTGGATTTCCTCTATTCGAGACTGCAAATGTGATTTTAGTTCGGTAAAGGAGCAAGTCGAAACAGAACAGCACCTGGCTGAGAACGAGAACGCCAAGGTTTGGGTCAGGCATATATCGATAATCTGGAGCATCTTCCTTAGAGCGTAGACGGAAGGTTTCGAAGGTATTCTCATCGAAGCCACGCGTTTCTTGCGGTACGCTTGAACCAGGATTAGCGAGGAGGTACTCAGTTTGTCGCTTGATCTCGTGTCCTGTGTTTCAGTAATCAGAAAACAAACAAAGAATCCATAAGAAACACGTACTTATAGCAGCCATTATGAACCGTACGCTGTTGAGATTTTTAATTTCGCAACGTATACCTGGTGGCCCACCTTTCTGGTTGACGGAGACATTCACGTCGCAACGAAGCGAGCCCTAATTGGTGTTGGTTTAAGAGTGCTCGTACTGGCACAGTTGGATGCTGACCTGCTCCATGTTACCGTCGCTAGAGCCCATGGCACGAAGCACGGCCTGAAGAGTGCGAACATAGGCCCCGGCCTCTTCTGGAGACCTGAAGAGACAGAATAAATTTCGGGGACAGTACAAAATAAAAAGGGATCGACCTCATGTCCGGCTCCGAAACGATCTCCATCAATCCGGTACCAGCTCTGTTGAGGTCGATATTGGATGTTCTCGTTCGCGGGTTGAAGGTCGATTTTGCTGTATCCTGAACGGTTGTTAAGTTCAACCCCTTTGTCTCAATGGGAATGTATACCTGCTCCAACTGAATCTGCTTTATTCTTACCGTGACAGGTGAGGAGCCGGGTGTTTGGACTTCAAGCTCTCCATTTTTTGCCAGGGGAGCTGCAGGACATTGTTAACGAATAAGAGAGTGAATTTAGTCAACAAACATGCCATATTGTTGGGTGATTTGGTAACCCGAGGGTAAATCGGAGTAGAAGTAGTGCTTTCGGTCAAATGACGAGCGATGTGCTATGCGGCATTTGAGGGCAAATGCTGTGCGGAGAGCCAAGTCAACACATTTTGGGTTCACTTTCTAAGCATTCCGGGGTTCAGTATGGCTCATGAGGTGGATACATGGCACTGACAGGAAGTGTCCCAGGAAATGCGGCGTCAAATGGGGAGACATGTGTGTTTGGAGGATCATCAGGAGCCGAAGTCAGGGATTCTGCAGCAAGGTTAGCTAGGAAGGAATTGATTGAATTGAGATGAGCACCTGAAAAGAGCTTTCGATGCGACTTTATCTGTGCATGGGTCTCTATTCCAATTATTACCTGCCAGCCAGGCCAGCGGATATCCTCTTGGTACGTGCGGAGGTCGTGGAACGCGCGGAAGTAGGGAGTGGGGCGGAGACGACGGACCAACATGGGCGGACGGAAAGAGAAGCCGGAGGGTAAAGGCCGCGACCATGACGTAATCTTTCCGGTCACCTGCTTTCTTTCGTCCCACCACCCAGTGGCAGCTCCGCGCTGCGAGCTCGTCGTCCGCCACGATGAGGGCATCCCTCCCTACATCTCTTCTTTCTCTTCTCCTTATTCTTCTTCCTTCCGTCACTGCAGACCCCGTCTCGCTACCTTTCCAAGACTGCTTTGACGACCCTGAAAGCGAAAGCCAAAAGTTCAACGTAAACACCGTCTACGCCCAAGTCCTCGAAAATGCAGAGTGGGGCAATTATCTCTATCTCACCGTGTTTGGGGCAAGCCCGAATGATATTGTGGGCCTGACGAACTCTAGTGGAAGCTTATGTGGGTATTCCGCGAACTCAGCTGTGTTATTGTTTTATCTAACTTGGCTCCACAGCAACGCTCTTTACTTCGACGTCGGTTCTGACGTTAAGTGCATGGACGAATAGCTCATATCTGTGCGAAAATATGCGACCACCAAGCCCCCTACCCGCACTAGATCCCACAGACCATAGTTACTGTCCCATTGTCGCTGGCCAGTTTGCCTTTTCATCGACAATACCCTGGGGCCGAAATCGGGAACTTACCACTCTTATCACCCGTCTTCGAGCTGTCGACCCCTTTGGAAAAGAGCTTGTATGTCTGGACGTTCTAACGACTCCACTGGACCCACGACCTAAATCGCCGTATGGAAGAGCCGAAATCATTTTCTGGTCAACAATCGCGCTCGCAATTGCATACTGGCTAGTGGTTGGCATCGCAAGGATATCTTCGGCATGGGGTAGGGGCATTACTCGCCAGGAACATGGAATATGGTCTCGTGCACAAAGTGCGGGTTATATCCTCGCAAGTGCAATCAGTGGAGAACGTCTAGCCACCAGCCCCGCGCTGATGCGTTTTGGTAAGTCCGTTATCCTGTTCTAGGTGAGATATCCCTTATCCTCTGCAGCTACCCCCTCTCTGCGAGACGTTATTTTCCATACCCAATGGTGCACCGTGCTCGCGATGGTGGCCGTAGAGTGGCCTCAATTTGTTTGTGCGTATCCCGCTGGCCCTGCTTCCTATCTATTTTCGTAACCTTCAGCCGCAGACCCCTTATTAACGCAGACCGCATGGTCGACACTCGCTTATAGTTAGTTGATTTCTCTCTCAGTGCTTGCGACTGTGATTCTGACCTTTCTCTCAGACGTCTCATTAACAATATCCTCTGAACATCACCACTGGAACCCGGTCAACACCACAACCTTTGACCCTCCATCCGGCTACACCGACCAAGTTTCAGATCCAGCATCGCCTCTATTCATTAATCCCGAAATACCAAATGTTATCCTCTCCCTCCCTCCAGACGCAACCCATGGCATGTCATCTTTTGCGTATACTCTCGGCGTGCGTCCACAAGATCTATTCCCAACATGTCTCATTCTATTTCTCGGCATCATTGGTGGAACGATTATCATCTCCGTTCTCATCTGGTTCGTCGACTACGCTGTTTCTGTGAACTTCAACAAGGGTCATACCTCGAGCATGAATCGCCTAACGAGGACTAGAAGCCCAGCCTTCGGAACCAGCAAGGAAATATCCGACCCACCGACGGGATTAGAGGAGAGCAAGTCACTGACCGGATCAGGACATGGCACTGCAGCTAGCGGAAAATTCCCCAATGCCCGGTTTCCGCTACCCCTAGCAAGCGCGGGTGCGGCGTCTGACCGCGGAATCAATTCGCACAGAGCGTGGTGGAAGCTTCGTACCGACATAGGTGCCTTCCACGGCAGTGTCTTGCACGGCAACCTTGTACGGATCCTGGTCCTCTTCCACCTGCCGGTGACCGTGTTTTCGTGCTATCAAATGACGCTGTCTCGCGATGTGGTGGGAATTTCGTCGGTGGTGCTTGCTGCACTATCATTTGTCGTCTTCTCGATCCTGATACCTGCACATTTGGTCATTCGGGTAACATTCACGACGACGAACAAGCTGTATGACGAGACAAAGACGCTCCTCTCTCTTGGCCCGTTATATAATCACTACCGACATGGGTCGCAACTCTTCGCAACCTTGTTATTCGCGACGAACATAGCTTTTGGTGTGACGATTGGTGCGGGTCAGAAGAGCGGGACAGCACAAGCCATCATCATTTTGGTCGTCGAACTTATTTCAGCGCTTGTTACGAGCATCTGGCTGCCATGGGGTAGCGGTGCGAGTATGGGCCTCATTAGTTTCTTGTTCTGTGTCGCTAGGATCGTCATAGCCGTCTTGCTGGTCATTTTGACCCAGGCTGTACGTGAATTTTGAATGACTTTGCTGGCCCTTTGCTAATCTTCCTTTCTTAGATTTCGATAGGTCCAGGACCTGGAGGCTGGGTTGCATACGGTATACTCGTCATCCTCGCTCTCGTATACTTGGCCTTGCTTCTTCTACTCCTTGTCAAGATCCTCGAAGGAATAGTCCGCATTGTCGGCGGCATTGGTTTTGACAGGAGCAAACGCTCAACCGACAGTGGCCTCGTCGGCGCCTGCGGTCTGCTTGGCTGCTGCGGCGATTCTCGGAAGAAGCGTCGGTCGCGTCACAAACACAGGGTACCGAACAGCCATGGTCCTTCAAGAGCACAAACGCGCGACTCGGATTTGTCTTCGTACCTGCCTCCTGCAGGAGGTATTGTGGCGGATGGCACTGCGACTCCGCCCAAGTTTTTGAATACCGAGTCGAGGAAGGGTTCGACACATTCACAGCCGCCTTCAGTTCTCAAACCCGAGCACGCAAATCGCCCATACAAGGAAGAGGTATTGGATACTGACGATGAGGGGTATATCATGGGTGCTTGGCAACCTTTCCCAGCCAGGAACTCGACGGGGTATACGCCCGTCAGCGACGGACCCCAGACGTCTGCGCCTGCTAATCTCGGTCGACCACAGAACCAGAAGCCCTCCCCTACGAGCAATACCGGCTTCTCACGCATCGGCGGTGGCCGTGCCCATTATGACACTCCGTACGCCATCAAGACGGGCTCGACGCATACATTCCCCTCAATTGGCCAGCAAAGCCAGATCGCTCAAGCTCAACCGGCCAGTCAGAGCACATCTGCTTTGGCTGGGCAACAGACGGTGTATCAGCCAGGGCTCAATGGCAGTGCTGATAACGTGCAACTGTCGTTGTCTAATGCCGAGGGCAATACAGCCGTAGGTGTCAATGGGCTCCCTCCTGGTGCGATGCAGCCCGCCCATATCCGAACGAAGTCGCAGACGGCCATCGTAGAGGACTACCTACCAGTCAGTGTGCCTCCGTCAGCCTCATCTGTAGCGAAGCAGTTCCAGCAGCAGCAGCAACATCAACAGCAACAACTAGGAGGTGGATTGCAGCCCGGCCAGCCTGGGTTCAGGACGAAGCACCTCTCACAAGACACCTTCCTCAAACCACCTCAGCAAAAGTTCACCCTTGGAGCTGACGACGAAATCGATTCCGATGAGGAGCAAGACCAGCAGAAGAAGAAGAAACCCTGGTACCACCTCCGGAGGAACAGGCCTCACAGCAGCGAGGGTCGCACATCTACCGCTGCGTCGTCGGCTGACTTGGGCAGTTCTCGGGTTGATCCAGAGCTAGGTGGTGTTGGGGCTGGTGCGGGGACGGGAGAGGCTGCGCAACCTCAGAGGTCGTTTGTTGTCATTCGTAAGGCACCTGGGTCGATGGGGAGGCTGAACCAGACTTCTTCGGGATCGGGTAGCAACGACACTGGTGGTAGTAGTAGCGGGCCTAGCTCAAGTAGACCGGCATATCCGACGGCATCCTCACGACCTCCAACGCGATAAGACGATATATTTTGCTGGCGAATCTGTCTGCCGTTGATCTGACTTATGGGACTTTCTTGTAGTAATCACCCCTTGTTCAACATTTGTCGATCGTTCTTTTCTTCTGTCTTGATAATTAATCCGCATAGACAGTTTTGGAATATGACTCATATCTACATTCGTAGAGTGTGGCGCATCATACACCCTTACCGGTTGCCGGTGACTCTCCTGACGTCAAGCCTGTGGCGACGTCGGTGCATCCACCTTCATCTGCGCTATCCTTATCACCCTATGATTTCGTCTACACTATTAAATAATGGCATCTAATATAATCCTATTGTCGAGAACTTAACGAAAGATAGTTGGGCCTTGGGATGAACCAAGTAAGCTGAAGCGACGAATTATTATTATGCAGTAGTATCCATTGGCATATCGATACAAATCAATAGTATGATTACAATACAGTGTCCCGCTTAGCCAAACCGTAGTCTACGTATGTACAACAGCCATTTGTTTCACAGCTGTTTGTCAATAATCTTCCTTCTCCGGCTCGCCTCCCCTCTTCGACTGGTTGCCCCCGACCCAGAAGATGCGCCAATCCTCCAGGCCCTTGCGACACCACCCATACATCCCTTCTTCCTTCTTCATAAGTGACAGAATATCCATTGAGTCCATGCTATCGAACGAAAGCACAGACGTCGCGCTCGGAAACCCACTTCCAAGACCAGCACCTGGGCCTCCAACACCCAGCATCGTGTATATCTGGTCTAGGCGATCCCAGTTGCCTCCTGACGATAGGAAACCCACCTCGCCACCGAGGTCCTCCTCCGTCCAAATTGTCTCGTCTGCTGGCATCGCCCGCCCTTTGCCCTTCGAACCGCCGTGGATAAAAGATAGACCCGTCTCGTGCACCTCTAGTCCGTTCTCTGTGAACGCGACAAACTGAAGAAGTGGAGGGTCTGTGTGCGGGTTGCACGGATCCACGGTGCCCGAGTCGGTGTATATGACTCTTGCAGAGACATGCCGTGGGCATGCCTTCCAGAACACAGCATGCAATGGTGAAGTGCTTCCTGACCGCTGCGGCAGAGGACAGGCGACGACGTGCGTGCGCTTGCCCCTTGTGATGATGTGCACGGGTTGTGTGAGCCCCGGGTGGCCGTGCACAGGTAGCTCGCAGCGTACAGGCGCGATCCAACGTGCAGCGCTCTCGCGAATGTCGAACGACAGGCGAGCACGTGTACGTAGACTCGCGCTGCTGACGGTTGACGAGAAGGTGTCGCGTGCGTGTAACATACCGCTAGTCCCGCCGCTGTTACTTCCACTTGCATGGGTGGGTAACATAGGCCCGCCGTCCTCTCCAAGCTCAACTTCGCCCACGGCCGAGTCGGCTAGGCGAATAATCCCGGCCTTCTTGTCGAATACGACGAATAGGCTGAGGTGTGTCCCATACTGGAGAGGTGTGGATGATGAGGCGCTGCTGATCAACCCTTTCAATGTACCTCCACTATCGGACCGTTTATGCGAGTGCAAACGACCTGGACCGCTTTCCACCGAGGTGCGCGTGGCATCGTTGACAGACTGCTGGATAAATGCAAGGTTGCGGGTTTGTAGAGGCGTGTAGAATTCCTATAGCGTATGTTTTCAGAACGGAAAATGTATGCGGAGGGAGTAGAAGCGCACCTTGACGAATCTGTATGCTCTTTCACCCTTTGGTGTCTCGTAGAGCAAAATATTCGTTTTCGTAGCAATAGCGAGCAGTTGTCCGCCAGTTCCTTTACCTCTTCGGGTCTCGTCACTCCAGGTAGCAAAGCATACCACGGGAGCACCTGCTAGCCGTGAGCCCGGCGCAGCAAGCGGGACAAAGTCCGTCGCCCATCGTAATGGCAGGTCGTCAACCATATCCCAACCAGATTCGTCGGAATTCTGCCTTGGCGGCGCTTCCCCGTGTATTGAACTAGGCGGGCTTCTACCGAAGTTGGAGCCGACAGTCGAGGTTGGAGACAAGAACGATTGGTAAGAGGACGTAGGCTCCGAAGCACCGGCATGAGGTTGGTCGATGAAGGACTTGATACTGCGTGCGATGCTACCCTGCTGCCGATGCTTCTTCGAGGGTGTGTTAGGTTGTTGCCACGTCGACATTTTGTGAAGGTCGAGTGGACGTGCACCCTGTCACAGGAATGACACCATGAGTGAGACAATCCGTCAAAATTGAAGGAACTTACCTTTTGCGCGATAGTCCATCGAGCAAGGCTAATGAGGCTTCCGAGGTTATACATGCGAGGTGTACGTAGAATTTCCGGATCCTTGCCGATAGTCGGGGACTCCGGCGAAGGGCCTACAATGGCCAGGACAACGCCTTGAGGGGTTCCAGTGCCATTCTCTTCGACTTCCAGAACAGACATTTGATAAACACTGCAGAAGATGCTTAGCATGACGCATGGAGGACTGAACAAGACAAATACCATTCGCCTCGCCAGATTGGCCAACAATGCGCTTCGTCAGGACCTTTCGTAAGAACATCGCCGTCCTCCGTCCATTGCTGCGGGAATATATCAAGGACAGATAGGCCTTCATCGTGGCCCACCAGTAGCATGCGATCTCCCAGTAAAGGGAGCACACAACGTATTCGTGAAGTTGTGTGAGGCAAGAAACGAGAGCCAAAGTGATTGATCTTGAGGTGACTGGGTTCAATGGTTTGGCTAACAAATGGAAGCGGGGCGGATAAAGGGTCGCTATCGTCCCATGAACCGGGTGGAGAGTCATTGACGCTCAGTCTGTTTGTTTGGACGTGCAGAGGCTCGCCAAACGGGCTTGGGGTCGGAGGTTGGCTGACTATCGATGGGATATTGTTCGCGTCCTGGGTGCAAATGAACCATAAGATAAACATTCAGCCAGGACTAAGAATGTGAGCAACCTCTTCATTGTTGCCCCAACCGCGGTGTCTCCGGCGAGCGCGATCCTCCGGAGTGATGTCCGCGTACCGTTCTGCTGCTCTGTGAACAAAGAGTTAGATTGACGGGTGGCTGATACCAGAACTGTACCACATGCCTCTTCTCAATCCACCCTCTCCATCTCCCGAATCTACATGTCGTTAGTCGGTAAGACTCTTCGTCTGGGCTCGGTGTACTTTCAATACTGACCTTGAGTTAGGACCGTTCTGGTTAGCGAGATCATCATAGGTGGGGAGCTCGTTTCCACCAGGGTTTGGATGCTTGTCTTGCTCGATATGAGTGAACTGCTCAGCAGACATCTCGTTGGGGGTTGCAGGGGCAGATGGTGGAGGTTCTTTTGTAAATTGTAGATCAATGGGCAGTTCAGTCTCTAGGCGATCACGTGCCGCAGCTATTTTTGGACGCAAGCGGCAGTGAAGTCATCTGCTTCCATCATCTCTTGGGTACCTGATCATCATCAATTCAAAGTTTTCTATGCCGCAGAAAAGAAGACGAAAAGGCGATACATGAGCCATAGAATTCCCCAGTCTAGACAGCCTGCAGAGCCATCCTGGATCGGTCTTCGGGTATACTTCGTTTAGTAGATAAGCTATATTCTCCACTAGCGTGAAACGGGGCTATGCTCGCCGTTATCAACTTGCTATACTAAAGATAGGGCCTCATCTCACCCGAGAGGATGGTTCCTACTTTGATATTCTACTGTACAGCATTATCAAAAGGACATACCTCGAAACAGTTCGACCAACAGAATATGCCCATGGGGACTAGATGTCCCAGTCTTCCAGAGCAAACGCCAGAACGCCAAATGCAGGCGCTGCCTCGCTTGTCCCACCCGCCAAACTCTCGACACCCCGACGAAGGAACCGGACGAGGCCGTCCAGCTCAGAGGCCATCCGCTCCACGCGAGCGAAGAAGTCCTCGTCTGCAGAAGTCGTCGAATTGCTTAGCATGGAATATGAAGGCTTTGCTGGACCATCCGCTGGATCCGGAGCATCCCCTTCTTCGTCATCATCCGAGCTGTCTTCTTCCTCTTCTTGGAGAACCTGGGAAAAGGCGATAACGTTCTTTCTCTGGCGTCGTTGTCTGCGGCTGCGATGTCGTTTCATAATACTCGACTGCCGCGAGACGTCTAGGGTCGCTGTTGTGTCGCCTGCGAATGTGACGAATCCTTCACTGAAATGCAGGCACATGTCGAGGGCCGAGAGGATGGCCCTGTGCAGCGCGGAAGTCTAGGGCCACAAGGTCAGAGACGACTTTGTGGGCAAGGTCTTATTGGGCACTTGCATTTGGTTTCAGCAGACACCTGCCTCGGATTTTTTCGAGACTAAAACGGAATTAGCACTGTCTAGAAAGTAAATCGACATGTTACGGAGAAGCTTACTGGGCGTTGTGGAGCTGGATCATTTCGTCAAGTGACTGTGCTTTGTGGAAGGACTCATGGAACCGCGATACTTCGGCGTGAATGACCTAATCAAAAGGCCTCGACATAAACAAACCACGGCAAATGAAAGTTTAAAAGACGAAAACAACGAACGTATGTCGTCAAGAAGTTCAATAATGTGCTAGAAAACGAGGGACTTGAGTGGGCACCAAATTCCCGGAAAACTAAGCGACCCTCACTCACTTAATGAACCAACTCAGTCGACTCCGCATGGCATAGAAAACCTTTAGCTCCTCCCTGAGTCTCTTGCCCCTTCCACGTTCATCCCTAACCAAAATTCGCTCCAGCACGCTTTTCGCCCTGCGGATCTGCAACAAGAACGCGAAGATCTCGCTGTACCCCTGTATCGTATTTGGCTGGAAGATATACGTCAAAGGAAACGGTGCTGCGTATTCCACGACAAGGCCATCAATCGCTTTTACCGTCCTCCTGATCGAGCGGTCCTTTTCCCTGCTTCCGCGATACGTGAATCGTACCAGGGCGGCGTTGATCCACTCCTTGGCCCCAGCAGCGGAGTTGGCTTCCATGACCTCCCCGAACGCCGTATTCAGAAAGTGTAAATCGCCCCACGGTTGCTGCGAGTCCATCTGAATTAAAAAATCACAGAAATCGATCAGCATGATCCAGCATTTGAGGAATACGAGGAGATGATGAACAAGAGACCGCCATCGTAGGCATACCTTCGTAAACAGCACGTCGACAAAGTGGCTCATCGCATCGCCTTTGCGCATCAGGAACAGATCCTCGATTGCTCCGAGGTGTTTCCACAGAGCACAATCATCCACAAGCACCCGAACGAGCCCCGTACTTGTAGCTTGGCAATGGGGCAAAAGCCCATCGTAGATAAGGCTTGACAGAGTGTCGATGGAGACGGAAAAGAGGTCTGCGTGGGCTTCGCTCCCAAAGCCATTGATAGCTCCTTGATCATGATCCTCAGCATTGCTGGGATTTACTCCAAGGTTGATAAAGTCGGAAAATGATCCCCAATCCTTGAATGATTTCGCAGAGGTTGTCTCTGATGATGGCCCGTCCAGGGCCCGCATCAGGCCGACTGCCTTGCCCGTACCCAGGACGAGATCAGCGACGTGTTCAAGGAAGAGCGGGATCGCCTTCCTCCTGACGTTCATAGGGGTCACTAGGGCCGAACTTGACAAATCTTCTTCGCCTCCCAGTCCCTCAGCCACCCCTTCCCTTAGCGAGTATCCCTCTTGCCAAAATTCTGGGTCGAGCAGACCTAGACCCATCATGCCGACACCGACACCGCTGCTCTCAATAAAGAACTCGTCTTCTAGCTCTGAGCCACTGGCCGCGGTGCCTCCTGAACCGACGCCGAGGCTGTAACCCATACCATCGCGTAGCCACCTTCCCACCATGTCCCATACAGGCTCTGTGGTCGTCACGAAAACCCGCATAAGCCCATTGCCAGTCACATGGTCCCGTCTCTCTAGATGTTGTTGCACATTCGCGAAGAGCGTGTCCAGCAATAGAGCAGTAAGTGCTGCGGGCTGTCTTTTAGCTGATTTAGCAGTCGTGCTTGAAGAATTGTCGAAAATAGAGGAAATGTCTTCGCCTGGCTGAACGTCAAAGACTTTGTTAATAATGTCGAGGAGGACCTCGAACAAGGTCGCATATTCGTCTCTGATGGCCTTTTCAGTGCTTAAGAGGCTCACAACGAGCGGCTCCTCCTCGATGCCTGCACTGGCGCGACACATCGCTTCTTCATGCGCTGCACACCAAGCGTCGAAACCACGAACCGTGTGGTCGACGGCGTCCGCAAAGGCCTCGCAAGTTCGTGTCGTCGAGGGTCGCTTGCCTTGTGCATACTGTGAGTCTGGAAGGTTTGAACGGGAAATGGATTGCGAGAAAACAGCACAAGCGAATCGGCGTAATTGCTGTGCTATCGTCGCTGTTTCTGCCAAGGAGGAGATGATCGACTCTTGTGAGGCCAGGCTTAGATGGATTAAACGTGGAGTGCTTGTGGTCATCTTGCAAATGAAATAGAACTTCAGGTTCAAGCTCTCCTTATGGTAGGACCACTTGCCTTGAATTCTCCGTCCAGCCATGTAAGGACGACATTCTTATTCCCTTGCAGGGCCATGAGTACCTCTCGAACCATGTCTTCTTCATCGATGTACCTCTATGCCGAGTCAAATACCATTCTTATTTCTATCCACCCAAACATACCTCTGGCTTCAACATAGCCTGAGCATCCTGGAATCCGCTGGCTTCAGCGAGAACTCTGTTGAGAGTAGGACCTACAATTGATATGTCAATTTGGAACCGCTTGAGCCCAGAGATTAACGTACCTAATGTCGAAGGTTCTCCCAAATCAAACTTTGCTTCTACACGTGCGTCAGTCTGCCAATCCTCCCTCCAATACTGCCTCTTCTGAAGCTCTTCCAATTGCTTCCTATGCTCAAACGAGCAGTGAGGTATCCTCTCTTTGGGTTTCTCGTGTTCATCCTCCACTGGGACCGGAGACGTAGCTCGATTCTGATCGTCATAAGAGCCGTCAGATGCGAAAGAGTCTTCTCCTGAATCCTCTTCGTCCAGAGCCAAGTCATCTGAATTCAGAGGTGAGAGTGAAGGTGTGCTATCCCACTCATCTCGCTCCTTGTCTTTTGGCTTCTTTCCTGGCTCTTGACGCACGCTGCCTGTAGGAAGCCCGTATACGCCTTCCCAGTGCTCGCCTTCGAACGGCTCTTCGGCGAGGATGTCTGCCCATGTAAGCGTTGGAGGCGGTGGAGGAGGGTTCGCGGCTGTTTCGAGAAGGGTCTTTGCGATTTCGACAGTGCCGTCTGTGGGTGGCCAGCTGAGTGCTAGCTGCATACAATATCAGTTTCATTGGCTCGAGTCGTATGATATGTGGAAGCGCACCAGGAATTGCAAATGATCAGGTATATGAGCGGTCTAGGCAAGACAAACATAAGCTGTGTAAACTGACGTTCAAAGCATAGAATAAACCACCTTGCCTTAATATCGTGGTCGAGATCCATCTCCTGTTGAGCAATATGGGTTTTGAGACGATTATATGCGGACTGCAACGCCTTCCCCAGCGCGTCTCTCGAATTGAGCCTGGCTTTCAATGCATGTCTAAACAACATGTCAGTAACCCCATACAAATTGTCAGTCGAGCACGTACGCACCCACTGATCTGCTTATCCACAACAGTCATATCCGTGCTCGCAGATGCCTTGCTAATCGTGATCGCCTCAAGATTCTTCACGGCATATTCCACCTGTTCACGAAACGTCTCTCCATCGGCGTCCTGCTCCGTTCCGTCCTCCTTCAAGCCAGTCAACTGAGTCACGAGTGTCTGACATATGGGAATCAACCGCGAACGTGCATGCCGTGAGCTTGGTCGCTGAGAAAAGCGTGACTGGGGACGAGTTGAAGCACTGGATCCTGGTCGGGTCGAAAGGCTGGAGATCGGTCGTTGGAAGGAAGTTGGCGTACGGGAAGTTGTTCCAGAAGGTGGTCGTGATGATAGACTTGACGATGGTCTCGCACTACCCTGGTTCTTGACCGATAAGTTTGAGTTTGAAGGTATCATGGATGAAGGTGGGTCACTGGGAACATGGAAGTTTCTGATCAAGCCGGATCCTCGTGACGCCATCGTTTCTCATCCCCTTGCTCTCAAAATTCTGAACGTACAATGTCGAGGGGGGCAAGAGATGCTACCTTTCACATTGGGCAGAGATACAGGTGGAATGATAGCAAAGTGCCAACTAATTACATGATAGTTAAAGCAAAATGAGTGGCGAGTAACGGGCACATGACCTGTGACCCACGCGACCTGCGACGAGCCAAAAAGCCATTATAAAAGCAGTGCGATAGGTTTAGGAACGGGAGGGACTCATCCAGGCTCTTAAGAGATGGCGGCAATGCATCTATTCCTGGAACGGGTATCCGAATTTGCCCTGATCCTTTCGGCGCCAGAGCTTCTTCCTAGACAAGTAAACAAGTGTTAGACGGTGTACGGGCCCAAATAAATGGCACAGCGTACTTCTTCTTGGTTGGTACGTGCTCTGCAAAGACTTCCATGCAATATCTCTCTTTGAAATTGCGAATAAAGCGAGGGTCCCTAGGCACATCGTTAGAACCAACAGCACGCAGAACATTCCAAGCCGACGTACCATAGTTCGCTGGCAACGCCCAGGTCCTTGCAGCATCGCATTAGAGCATTGCTCTTGCAAGCTTCCGTCGCAGTTGCAACACCAGAAGGATCAAAATACTCTTGCTCTCCACGAGCAACCGCGACTAGACTGAAAGAATATAAGGTCTGAAGGACGGGGAAAAGGGGCAGTAGAACAGACCGGCCAAAGCAGACAAGTGCATACTCCCGACTAACAATCTTCGGCCCAACATTGGTTTCACTCCTCGGCGCCAGACCCCATCCTCCAGGACCGAACGCTCTATTCAATACCCTCCGATACTTGATTTCAGGCAAGTAAAGAAGGCCGTCTATGGGACGCGTTTGCAATAAAACTTAAGTCAAAAAGTACCAACACTTACCTGGCTTGACCTCAACATCATCTGGATCTATCGGAGCAAGCAGGACATCAGCCACCTCTTTGGGAAATGGTTGTTGCGACAACCCAGAATAACTTCTGGACCAGTCCGTGGTGCCGTCACTTCCTAGGATTTCTGGAAGTGGTGAGGCAGCTGAAAGATCTGTAGGAGGCCTAGTAGCTGTCTCTGCAGGTTTTGATTGTGCTGGGTTGGAATCATTTGCAGGTTTCGCGGTGGTGGTGGTGGTAAACTTGGCTGCAGCTGCAGGCCGAGGCTGTGCATAGCTAGTAGCATACCGAGCTGGCGAGAAACGGGTTGCAGAGCGTGCCGATAGATATGTCCGAGAGGACAGAAGCCTCTGGGCAGCTACGCTCGCCATGATTGTTCAGAGGTGTCCAGTCATCCTTCACGAGAACGCGTTGCGCGGACCTTAAATATGCTTCCCACGCCCTTCAATCGCTCTGCTTGGGCATGCATGCTACCTTTTCTCCACATACTTATATCTTCCTCTTGTTCTTACACAAGGCGCGTCATTCGACGAACCAAGAGACCTTGTTATCGTGTTTGTAATTTGAAGAGGCAGGTGTGGAAGACTTTATACTGACCTTTCCCCATACAATTGAAGTTTGTCTACAGGACTATGGTTCGCGAATGTGTAAACTGCGGTAACCCAGCGGAAAAAAAATGCGCAGGCTGCACTATGGTATGGTATTGCAGCAGGCGGTGCCAGGAATACCATTGGGTCGGACATCTATTCTCTTGTAATCTGAAGCGAGAGCTCACTACCGCAGACCATCTGGCCCTCGCCATTCGAAAGAACCTGCTCCCTGTCGATAACCCAACCCTACTCGAATACGGTTTTCGCCGTGCGTTTTCTTTCGAAAACCAAAGAAAACTGCCTGGTCTCTACGCCGGGCTTGTTGAAGCTCTGAAAGTCAAGCCGAAAGCGATTCAACGTTGGAGAAAGGAGGGCATTCTCGTGCAGGAGATCAAGAAGTGCTTCGAGGCAATACCTGCTGCGAGCCGGGGCAGCTACTATCCATGGTTCCTGGAAAACCAATGGGTGCTCGACGGCAAGCCACTTGATCCAGAGGAGTCGAACGGCAAATTCCTCAGGGAAGGCTGGATATTCACTGGCGGGGACCCTAACTCTCCCATGTATGAAATCAAGGCGACCATTGAGCGATGGCCCAAGAACAAGCTTATCTGTTTCCACATGTGTGGAATCATGCTCCTCCACTTCCACCCCGCTCCATCTGACATGATGTGGGTACCATTCGGGTTCTGCACTTGCGATGAGAATTCCGAGCTCGAGCTGGGTGGCATATATGAAGGACTGCTGAAGCAGTGTACCTTTAAAGATTTTTACGAGGCGTTTGAATCGTCTCAGCTTCTCAAGCTTTTCCGAGCCAAGGGATGGGGCCCAAGCATCGCCAGGTTTCCTTACCTCGAAGGCGTCCTTGAGAAGTCCCCGCACTGTCTCTCCGTCTGGGAACTAAAGCAATATCTCATATTGGATGCTGAAGACTACCCCATGCCCCCTTTCCCTACCGTGTCACTCGACTACGGTTTCTTCAATTGCCAGAACAGGGAAGAGGAAGAATTGAGCGCCGCTTACAGGGCTTTTTTTGCCAAACGCGATGCCGACCCTCTGGCATTACAGCAGGCAGTCGTTCAAGGCAACGTCTTTGAATACATGTGCGGTGTGGTCAAGTTGAAGAACAAGAAGACTCTGCGACGTTTGATGAAGAATCGATTTGGCCTCAACTCGTCGCAAAAACCTGGCCTCAATCCGTTCTAATATGGCCTGCGCAGTACGATGGCCGTCTCCTCTGCTTTTATCGACATCACCGAGGCACGTCAAGGCCCGGTCCATCGAGTACGTCCGATACAGGTCGGATATTCAAGTGGGATAGCACTCACCGAAAGTACTGGGGTACACCCCTTCGCTTCCGCAGTCGATTCATGTACGCTGCTGCTAGTTCTAATGTTATCCGATTCTTAGTGTCCATTATTTGACCTGACGAGGACATCTCTCGTGCAGAAACAATCTTTGAATAGGGTGATATAATTATAGTCATTTATTTCAGACCTAAGCAGTTTTCTGCGAGTGTTGGGTCACAAATAGCTTTGAGCGCGCAACTCTGCTGCAGTCTTCCACAGAAATAGAAATAGGGGGAGCGGTCACGTGTACGAGAACAGGGGCGCGTTTACAAGTCGAACCAAGAATAGCATCATTCCGTGCCACTCACCCACACCCACCCTCTGCAACGAGGCATTCCCCATTTACTTTTTAGTGGCGCCTCCCGACCTGTACCAAATATCATACCTCCAGGAGGCCCCACGAATAACAATGGCGTTCGAGGACGTCATGAATGCCATCCGCGACAGCGTTCAGGAGTCATTGGACGAGGTGTGTGATGGTTGGATTTTTCCTTCATGCGTAGCGCTCATCCGAAACTTTGTTCTGAAAGCTTACTTCACCTCGATCTTTATTCAAAGCAAAGACGAAAGCTCTCCAGAACCTTGAACAACATCTCGCTACCGCTTGCTGCTCCACAGCGACCGACTCTGAGGCGAGGGACAGCTTTCTTGCTCTTCAACACACCTTCGAGTGCAACGGTCGGTCTGATTTCGCTCCTAAACATTCTAAGAAGTTAATCCAGCCCAGTACCGGCACACCTCCTTTCATGGATTACGCTCTCAACGCTGCGGCTAGAGAGTCTCACGACCAAGACCTCCGGAGAAGGTACGTTATGGGTCACACAAAGGGCGTTGGCCACCAAACCTGACTTGAATGTTGAAAGACGACAAGGTCACCGACGTTGACGAGCTCGCCACCCAGTTCTCGCTCTCGCTTTCTCTGATACAGGGTATCGCCCTCAACCATGAGCCAAGCAAGCGTTATCTTGGGAGGAGGCGCGCAGTCGAAGTGAGTTCCCATCGCTCGTTTATTGATCTTGTGTTTCGACCCAACTTCGTGTCATTCAGGTGCTCCTCGACCTCTTGCTTGCCTCGAGGCACTTAGCCAGCCCCTCTGACAACGCTGAATCCCAACGCAAGTCAACCCCCAACCCTCCGCATTTGACCTCGATCGTTCTTGATACCCTCTTATGCATTCTCGTCGATTCAACACTGGCACTTCGGACCTTCGAAGAAACCAACGGTGTACAAGCAGTGGTCAAGATCCTCAAGCGAGCCGGAACACCTCGTGAAGTTCGGTAAGTCAGACAGCATCCTCGTGTCGGTTGTGTTCTGATCTTGTAATCCCTCAGGATGAAATGCCTCGAGTTTCTGTACTTCTATCTCCTCGACGAGACGCCAACAACCTCATCTAGCCCATCTGTTTCGTCGACCACCCCACAATCACCCCTGTTGACGTCAAGTAAGGCCACCCAGCCAACACCCCCGCCGACAGCACCTACAACACCCATCCGGCCCGCAAAGCCTTACTTTAGTGGTGCCCCTATGCGACCCAGTAACAGTTCGCGATATGGATCATCGACGTTCGCGTTTTCCTCTTCATCTAGCGGGATTTCCGTGTCTGGTTCAAGATCTGGCTCTGGATCAACTGCGCCATTTGAGCCCAATTCGTCCCGCTCGACTTCGAATAGCTCGACTAAATCAGCTGGTTCGTTCTCAAGTACTTCATCCAATGCTTCTTTGTCCTCAGGTACATCCGTCTCGGGTGGCTCGAGGTCAGGTTCACCTTCTATCAACGCCAACGGAGGACATGAGAAGATCAAGGAAAAAGAACGGGTCGTCTCGCCAGTGTTCATGGAATCTATCAAGGTTTTGCCCAAGTCTCCTGTGAAGCGTATGGGAACACCTTTTGCTGCGGGTCACGGACATGGCCACAGCCGATCGCAGAGCCAGCACCAACTCCAATTGCAACGGAACGCGACTCCACCCAATTCGCCTCCTCTCGGATCACCTCCTTCCAACACCCCAAGTGGCGTCCGTGCGGGCAACAAGTTCCCTCAGCTCCAGCCCCGGTCAATGATGATGCTCCGCAAAGAGGTCGACTACGTCCCTCTGAGTCCGAAGAAGCTGCCCAGTCTATCCGGAGCATTGGCTGAAGGCCATAGTAATGGCAGGCGGCCATCTGCACTAGGGCACCACAAGAGCTTATCCATGTCGAGCACGAGCACGTCGGGTTCACCTTTCCAGGCTTCGAGGTTAGGTTCGGGTGCGACGAGCCCTCCTCCAAGTGAAGGTGGCCACGGCAGACGTGGCGTAGGGAAGAGTGCAAGCGAGCCGTCGGTACTTGAGAGGCAGGCGGATAAGAATAATAGGGATGGTGGCAAGGGAAGCAAGTGGAAGACGACGGAGGAGAAGAAGGAGCTTCTTGGGACGATGCTTGGGAACGTCGACGCATTAGTTGAGGGTGTAAGGAAGGCAGGGATTTGGGGCCTTGGTTGATGGGTGCCCGGCAGTCGTTCGGAGATGCGGAGGAAGACAAAGATTGCGGGAAAAGAAGGGGATGTGGCATTAAAGCCATCGCTATTTATTGCTGTCTGATTTGTTAATGTTTTCCTGTCGTTTTGCTTGCAACATGCTATCGTGTTTTCGTTCTTCAATTTCGCAGCCTGATCCCAGGGCTGGGCAATTGTTTGGAGCATTCGTGAGGTTGACGATACATTGGTGAGAGGAGGTTTAGGGGTGCAAATAAAATAAGAGAGAAAAAAGGTAATTTGAATTTTCGTACATTGAACCCATACCGAGCTCGACATCCAGTTATGACCGTCTCTGAAGCTTCCCGATATTATCGACAGACGGCGCACCCCAGACGAGTGTTTTTGTCTCCGGATCGAGGAGCCAGGGTAGTTGATAGTCCACAAAACGTGGTAGCACCCCCCTCGGTGAACCCGCCAGTGCCTTCACCACTTTTGGGACCGTAGGCGCCTCCTCCTTCACCACAACTGGCGGCTGCGAGGCCTTGATCTCCATACTCGTCTTCACAGGCGCCTCGACCACCTTCTCAGTTCCAGCAGGCACAAGGCCCGTCTCTGAGCTTGAGCTGGTCACCGTCGAACCAAGTGCCTCCGCTTCGGCATCCACATCGTCGAACACGTCCTGCTTGACAGCGCTGATCGAGTATGCCCAGACTCCCACCGCGAATGCTCCGAGTGTGAGCCCGAGGAGGGCGTTCTTCACGCGGTAGGGCTCGCGAGCACGGCGGAGGCCGGGAGACATTGACTGTGATGTTGAGAGGTGTACACGTGCAAAATCGACGCGATTAAGATCATCATAAGGAGGTCATGAAAGGGCACGGTTAGGACAACGAATGAGCTGAGTGACTAGTTACAGAAGTAGAGAAAGGACTCACACCCGAGGTGGGTCGATATGACTTCGCTGCCTCTCGCTTGTCGATGTATTGTGACTTCGACATGGTGAAATTCTTGGTGGGCAAAGTCCTCGCCGTTTGTTGGGAGACTGTCGGAAATATCGGGGATTTCCGCTGGGAGGAGGCTGAAAGAGGTTTCGCGAAAGTTGTTCAAAGTTATTGGTCAGGCAAGAAAGACGTGACCTAACCTCGCCTAAAAGCGGGCCGGCGCTTTATCGGAGACACTCTAAAGTTCGAAACATAGTATGTATTCCTTCCGTCTCATAGAGAAGCAAAAAAAAAAAATGCAACTGCGTGGCAGCCTGAGGGTCTAAATACCTCACCCAGACTACATACATAAGTATTTACTTCTAGGTCGACAATATCTCCAATCAAATCATCGAAGGAATGAGCATATTTTATATTTGCGATGTCGTTTGATAGCTCTGGAGAAAGTCAAGAGGAACGATCGTAGCAAGTCCACCGTTACACATCGTGAGGCAGGCTACGAGCAGTTTAACATGTGTATTGGTCGGAGGAAGTGGTACAGACCAGGAATCGTTCTTTCCAGCACATAGAATCTGAGTACGTGGTTGTTTCGTACACTGCAGCCAGCTTTCTATTGCTCGTGACTTTGTTCCAAGACGCTGTTCTGGGTCGCGACGAAGAGCGCTCTACAAAGGGGGAAAGCCTGGGGAAAGCCGCTATTTCGGACTTCACTTCGGAGTTGCCAGTGGCTTGGGGTCGAGTATTCCGGCAACAATTTCTGCCACAGGAGTTAAAGGAAGGAACCAGGAGCAGCCACTCAGGAGGAATTATTTCCTTCGGTTGCAGACATGGATGTCGAGAGGACCGCATACAGAAACGCCTGACTTTGACCCTGCTGCGAGTCTGCTGGGTTTTGCGGGGTCGCTGTCTCTTGGAAAAGGGTGTTTAGCATCACATTGTATATGTAACGGAACTTAGCTGAAGACACGATGGGGAAAAGGCCGTGTAGAGGACGTTTTGAAGCTCGACACTTGACGAGCGACAGTGGCAAGAACAAGGCCAATCGGATCAGAAGGTCAAGTGCGTTTGTGACACCCCAACACGACCTGTGACGAGTAACACTTTGCATGTTCTCCTCTACGTCCCTTCGTCGACGGATTTCTCTGGCTTGCATTGTCGACTGTGAGTGCCTCGGTGGGGCTGTGGTCTTTGGAGGCTTGTAATCGCGTAATCGCCGGCTCAAGGGTTGCTGATCTTACCTTACGGCGATTTCTCGCGTGGTGCTCCTTGTATCCCTTAAGGTCATCATGCAACAACTACTAGCAACAAATCCTCCGGTAGCCTCAACCGACTGCGAGACGATGATCTGTGTATCTAGTGTCTCTCGTATGTAGCACATTCTTACATATTTGGCTAGATCCCTGAACATGCCTCGGTCTCGGGATCCGTCAAGCAGAACGGGCGCTATTGGCGCTATTCTACACAAACTCCTCTGAAGCCCACCTGATATCCTCGGCGCATCCCTGACGACAAACTGAGAGACGGCGCACTCTACGTTCGAGACGCGACCATCCTGTGTTACTGCCAATATGATTGCAATTTACTGGGGAGCAACCAAAGAGATTTGCAAGAGATGTGAGTTGTGAACAATCGTCGGAAATGCTCAACTCAAATTTTCGACACGTATATTCTCTGGATCTTTTTCGGAAGTAAAGACCTTGATCGTATCAGCTAATCATATTTTCGACAAGACTTCGAGGCAGCTATCTATAGGGCGGATGTGAAGGATTCAAGAAAACTCCAAAGTGCCGCCAGCATGATTTCTTCCTCCTCCACACGCGAGCAGACCTTGGCGACAACCCCTGTGGTTTCCACAATTCAGTCGATTATTGGAATGAACTGCTCCTTAGAAACCTGCCTGCACTTCAAGGAAAGCTATCTCGCCATCTCGCCATCACGGCGTCGATCTTTCGCCACATACCCAAAACGGGAGCATGATCGACGCTGCTCCAGAGGCGGTCGTTCGGTATAAAAGCTCGACGGAGGCCAGGCTAATTCTTCAGCTGGTCTCATCCCAACAAACCGAATCATATCCAACTAGTCGACGCTACGTTGATCGCTAGCATACCAATCATTCCACCGCTTCCTCGACATCTTCACGACTTCACGAAAAGCAAAATGGTCAAAATCACCACCTCCGTTGTTCTTGCCGCCATTCTCGTTGCCCCCTCCATCGCTGCTCCCATCGCTGCTGACTACCAGTACATTGATGCGTGAGTCGAGCTATCTTTCGTTCGACCCCTACTCTTTTACTTATGCGCTTTTAGTCGTGAACCTCAGGGGTTGCGCGCTGCTGTCAGCAAGATCGGAAAACTCTTCACCTCCAAGAGGGTGGCCGCTGGTGCTAGCGTCGCCGCCGCCGCCGGAGGCATAGCTGGCGTTATCAAGTCCAGTCAGTCCGAGAAGCCTGCTGCGCGCGATCTTGAGGAGCTCGAGGAGCTCGCAGCTCGTGAGCCCATCTTTGGCAAGCTCTTTGGGGCCGCGAAGAAGATCGGCGGTGGTGCTCTCAAGGTCGCTGCCGGTGCCCTCTCTGGTCGTGAGCTGGAGGAGCTGGAGGAACTGGCTGCTCGTGATGACATTCAGGAACTCCTCGCCCGGGACCTGCGCATCCGCACCGCTTTGCGAGCTGTTGGCAAGCATATCACCTCCAGCCGGGTCGCTGCTGCTGCTGGCGCGGCCGGAGCTGCGGGAACTATCGCAGCTACCGCGAAGTCCCGACGCGACCTCGAGGAGGTTGAAGAGCTCGCAGCACGCGACCCCCGTATTCGCGCTGCCTTGGGAGCGGTGCGCAAGCACATCACCTCCAACAGGGTGACCGCAGCTGCTGGTGCTGCCGGTGCTGCCGGCACTATCGCCGGTACCGCGAAGGCTCGCGAACTCGCAGATGAGCTCGACGCTCGGGACCCCCTCGTCCGCAATCTTGTCAAGAAGGTCGTCAGCGGCGCCATGAAGGTTGGTGGTGGACTCGTTTCCATGCCCCCTCTTGGTCGCCGCGAGCTCGAAGACCTGGAGGTGCTCGTCGCTCGTGACCCTCTCGTTCGCAATCTCATCAAGAAGGTCGCCAGCGCCGCGAAGAAGGTCGGCAGGAATCTCAACCCAATGCTCCCTCTCGGACGCGATCTCGAGAACGTCGAGGGTCTGGAGACGCGCGCCATCCCCCGCAAGGGTCGCGGCAGGTCTTCCTCCAGGACAGCATCGTCGTCCATCAAGCCTGTCGGCGCCTCCGCTGATATCATGGTCCGCGAACCTGTCCTTGGCAAGCTCACCCGCTCGAACGCTTTCAAGAAGGCCGGACCAACGCTCACCCGTTCGAATGCCTTCAAGGGCCGCGACCTCGAAGATATCGAGGGGCTGGCTGCCCACGACCCCCTGGTCCGAAACCTCGTCAAGAAGGTCGTCCGCGGTGCTATGAAGGTCGGTGGAGGCTTGGTCGCCATGCCTCCTCTCGGCCGCGACCTCGAGTACGTCGAGGAGCTTGCTACTCGCGAATACTACGACGAGCTCGATTAATTGGATATGACAATTCGGACCACCACTACGATTGTGTAGACTAGCATACTGTACTTATTACTAGCAGTACCCTGTAGCAACCAAATAGACAAAGAAAAAAAAGTCAAACTTGCAGGAAACCATACGAGTGATTCGCCTTCGTCTTTTGTGCACTTCGAGCTGCTGCGCTCCTTGAGCATTTGAATTTCTAGAACAGGAGCGGAGCCTTGGTTCGCTGTACGAATGAAACAAGACCTTGTTTACATACTCCAGGACGAGTCTAACTGCGTCCAATTTGACGTGCTTAGATTGAACGTTTCACCGACGATTTTATCCCAAGGGATACTTTTAGGCCTACTGAGACCATAAACGCCGGACCGATGCAGAAAACAGACTTCAAGTCCGGAAATCTCAAAAACTCAGTGTCAAGAGTCTCCCGTGTGCGTAGAATCTGCGCGATATTCTTCGACCAGAACAGCCCAGCTGCCTGGCTTCGAATAGGGTGGTTAGCAGCGTTTTCTAAGACAGATGCAATGGTTTGTCGGCAGCGACCTCTCAGAGGGTATTCTTAAGGCACGAGAACATCACGTTTAGCGCTAGCGCTGTCATGGTCGGACCGACAGGCGCTTACCTTGGGCATCGATACTAAAACGGAAAGACTGATGGAAAGAGGATCTTGGCAAGCGCAGGTCCATGCAGGTCATTTTCACCGTGCTAATCCTCGTATATTCTCATACAGAGAAACGTTCACGGCTCAAAAAGTGCGTGCAAACCACTATTTGTGTGTCCCCTGAGCAGTGTCGAAGTAAATTGAAAGGACCTCGTTAGACACCTTCTAATAACGTTCGCGTTCGGCTGCTAAATACTCAGGCTATACGAACAGTCAGGGCCATGCCTAGCTAGCTATCAACCCTCCTTTCTGCTTCATAAGTATTTTGGAATCTGTCTGTTTTTTTCCCCTTCTCGTGACATCACTACGAAGGCGTCTATCCCATGAACTCTGAATGGTATCAACGAGAAGCACGGTTCACTGATGCTGCGGAAGCCAGGATGGGGACAGTGTTTCATGTCCAAAGCCAAGACACGAGACTCTGGAAGGAATGGAAAGAGGATATGCGGGGGTACCGGTGCCATGGCATCTTCTCGATGTGCCGATCTTAGGGGCTTGGTTCGGCCCTATTGCGTACTACATACATAAATAAGCGCTCGTGCTCGTGCATATTTCTGAACCCTTTGCACTTGCATTTCGTATGCGCAACTGCAGAAAAACGTGAGCGTATGTTCAATTAACCTTGTTTTCTTCGAAACAAAGGGGTATATTCTTGCTTAGAACCCCTCCTTCGATTCAATAAATTCAATTGTGCCCTAGAAACCTCCTAGAAACACCGCCGGGTTCCTCACCAACGCGAGCGTCTTCCTGACGATTGCCACACCTCGGCGCCCAAAATGGAAACTGGACACCCACCGCGTAACGCGCGCAAGCGCTTCCACTGAGTACGCGTCCTGGGCAGTCCTGGGGTATAAAGCGCGATGGGCAAAGCTCTGGTTCTTCAGCTGGTCTCACCCCACCAAACTGAATCCTATCTACTCATCGACGCTGCGTTGAACGCAAGCCAACCAATTAACTACCCTCTACCCTCTCTCCTCTTTTTACGACCTTTCGACGTTCCAACGAATTCATAATCACCATGGTCCAATTCAGCACTTCCGTCGTCGTCGCTGCCCTCCTTACCGCCCCCGCGCTCGCTGCGCCTATGGTTAGGTATGTCACCTTTTTGATCTTACAATTGTATTCCACCAACAATTTTTTCCCCAGCCACGAACACCACGCCCACCCTGGCGTCAGCCACATCGCTCGCCGCGAACCCCGCTCCCGCGCCGCTTTGAGGCAGCAGGAGGCGAGGGACCTCGAGGACATGGGGGATTTGCTTGCCCGGTTCCATGGTATGGGCCACGGCGGTATGAAGAGACTCCATGCCCGCGACGACAAGAAGAAGGACGAGCATAAGAAAGACGACAAGGAAAAAGACAATAAGAAGAAGGACGATAAGAAGAAGGACGATAAGAAGAAGGACGATAAGAAGGACGAGCACAAGAAGGACGACAAGAAGAAGCATGAGCACAAAAAGGACGCGAAGAAGGACGAACACAAAAAGGACGACAAGAAGAAGCATGAAAAGAAGGACGACAAGAAGAAAGAGGAGCACAAGAAGGACGAGCACAAGAAAGACGAACACAAGAAGGAAGAGCCCAAGCAAGACGCACACAAGGAGACTGAGCACTCGCCGGCGGTCGAGCACCAACAAGCCACTGAAGCGTAAGTCGGCCTCTCTTTGCTGTTCGCTGAATTACCAATCATCGTGTTGCTCTGCAGGCTCGAGACTCCGGAGCCGACCGCTGAGGCTGAGGAAACCCCCGTTCCCGAGGCTCAGGAGGAGGCACCTGCCACCACCGATGAGCCTGCCGCACCCCAGCTTGAAGGGCGCGCACGCATTCGTGGCAGCATTGGTGCCCACCCTCACCTCTCGGGCATGAAGGATTACCCCACACGCGAATACGCCGACCTCAAAGCCCGCGGTCAGAGAGGTCGCGGGTCGCTACAGGCTGGCGGACTCGCTCAAGTATTCAGGCGCGAGCTCTACGACGTAGAACAGTTCTCCGCCCGTGACTGGGAGGAGCTCGAGGAACTCACGGCGCGTTCTCCCTTCCTCGGCAAGGTCGTTCGCAAGGTCAAGGGTATCTTCAAAGGAAAGGGTGCTGCTAAGGGTGCTCAGGCTGGTGCCGAGGTCCATGCGGCGACCCAGCCTGCTGAGCGCGACCTGGAGAGCGTCGAGGAGCTTGCCCGACGTGCTTACTTCGACTCGGAGTTCGACGAGCTCGACTGATTGGATAGGATAACTTCGGACCACCGTATGGTTGCATACAGGAATATGACCGGCATGTTGTATTACGCTCTCAGTGTATCGACTAGAAACAAAAAAAAAAGTAAAACTTATGGGAACCTTCGAAGAAGGATTAAGGATTAGGAATCATACCGTTCACGTAGTCCTCATATGCCTTTAGGCGTCTAGGCATGCCCGAGGGATTGGGAAGGTCGCCGGTTTATATCGCAGGGCTTCATATGTCTGGGAAGGAGCGATAGGCAGCTCGAAGCTCGGAGTTGTGGGTATTCAGCTTCGTTCATCATACTTAAGAAAATCACTCGTAAGAATAGGCAGGCAAGTATCGAGCCAATGCCTTCGAATCGCGTGAAGAGCCAAAACTTCCTGAGGATCACCGTCATCATCAGTTCTATCTTCAAAATTATTGAGAAGACTCCTTCTCCCACACCTGTCCTTCGATTCCCGATGCAGTTAGAAGTGATAACATAGGCTCTAAGCAGCCAATACGACGCATGCTGGGGTCATTGAGAAACTGTCAAAGAGAGTGGAGGAACGGGAAGGGAAGGCCGGCAACGAATCAGAGCGCTCGGAGATCACGTGTTACTATGGTTCTGTGCATGCAATTTCGCGGCTTGTCTTCCGCCTTCGAGTTTTGACGCGGAGCTCAAGTTTCGGAAGTTCAATCCATGCACACACAGCGCAGGGACGCAGGTTCATGGTCCTCAGATTTCCCAGAGGTCGACACCTCTTATTCCCCTCCCTGTCTCCCCTCCGAATCCTCGCTATCCGCCCCTACCTCTCACCCCCATCGACCTCGGCGCTTCGCCCAACTTGGAGATCTCTGTACAGCGAGACATCGATCTCGGAGACCGAAGAGATGACACCAGCCCTCAAGTGAGCGTCTATCTGGCCTGTTCATACGCAGGGTTGTCGGAGGGGGGAAGCAGCTGACGCAGGACACCCCTCTGCAGGCCAGATTTCGGAAAGGACGACGCCTTCTTCCCTCCTCTGCCCGAGATACGCTCGCAGGCGATAAAACTCCAGGTCTACACCCATCGCAGCTACTATGCGCGCCCGAACCATATTTTCGAGGACAGCCAAGACGACCTCAGTCCTGATAACGAGAAGTGAGCAGTTTGCGCAGTCTGATTCTTCGTCGAGATCGACCTGTGCTGAACATCCCTCTCCAGGTTTGAGCATTTGGGCGACACTGTCTTGGGTCTTACCATCACTAACCTCCTCATGGATATGTTCCCGGGTTTACGAGTGGGGCCCTCGACTGTAAGCTTTCTGGATCTCCAGATAAGCTCGTTCTCACCTCGTTCCTTCCACATCCAGAAAATCAGGGCAATGATCGTCGGCAACCCCACCCTAGCTGAAATGTAGGTCCCGCCTGCCGTCAGCTCTAGCTTCTCGTCAAGCGCTGACAACGTTATCAGATCTTTGAAGTACAAACTCCCTGATCATCTGCGCCTCCACCCGGCACAATCGATCACCCTGCGCGCTTCGACCAACATCCAAGGTGAGCCAAATCACTTTTCCTTATGCTCGAGAGAGCTAACACGATGTCCTGCAGCTGATGTTTTCGAGGTGTGACGAAATACTAAACCATAATGCATAACAATATTCTCATAAACCCGGAACAGGCATTCGTCGGTGGGGTCTTCCTCGACCGCGGCCTCGAGCCTGTCAAGACATGGATCAACGCACTCTTTCGCCCTTACGCGTTCGCAGCGTATCAGGTCGCCCGACAGCAGCATGGGTTGCCTCCTCTCCTTCCTCCCAACCCCGACGGCTCTGACGGACCAGGCCCGCGCTACACCGGTGCCCACACCCTCGGCACCCTCAACGCACAGCTGCAGGCTCCCCCTGCGCGGCTCCCCGAGCCAGGCAACCTCATGAATCAGCCCACCGTCGGCCACCTCGCGCTGTTCAACCAGCACCTGCAGAAGCACAACCGCAACGTCGAGTGGGTCTACTCGGACAGGGCGGCCGAGGGTGGACACCCGTACTCGGATGTTGGGCTCCCCCAGGAGATGATCATGAAGGGCACCAAGTCGACGCCTGTGTGGTATGTCAAGGTCATGGTAGATGGGCAGTTCTGTGGACGGGGAAGGGGAAATACGAAGAAAGCCGCGAGGAACGAGGCGGCGAAGGAGGGTTTGACGGCGTTGGGCGTGATTGTAAGGTGAGTATTACTTTGACCGTGTTTTTTTTTATTGCATTTGCAATTTGCTCGTTCATTTCTTCGCTGCTAGCCATCCAACGAAACTGAGTGTATTGACTTTTTTTTGTCTCTAGGTGAAGAACAAGCTGCGGGGCAGAACATACCTTCTGCAGACTCGTGCTAGCTGTTTATGTGGGGTCTCGGTCGTCTGACCAGTCCACCGAGCACCTCCATTCCATCTAGCATTGGTGTGCAGTGGATGCGAACCACGCTGACTATTGCTTATCGCCGTTGTGGTCTTTTTTTCCCTGCGGCTTGGATTGATGACGCGGTCAGGGGGCCGAAGCAAGGAGGATTATTTATTCTGGTCGAAGTGCTCTGTGTTCTCTCTATGCTGTTGTTTGGTGTACGATTTTGTATGTGGTGCCTCCATTTTCTCTCGCTTTCTTTCTGCTTTGGTTTGGAAAAACATCTATCTAGCTGTGTACCTCTCATCCTCTATGCTCTCTGATTGCTTGGTTTATCATTTTGGTTAGTATCGTGTGTACAACTCCTGTCATGTCGCTGTGTAGAATTGATTGCGGGCTAGCTCGTCCCGGCCTATTATCCATTCCCCATGCTGTCATATCCCGGTTGACAGTGGCAAAACCTGGTTCTCTTCACATGAGAAGTGAAGGAAGGCTTCATGGAAAGGCCAACTCGGAGTCATATGAATATGTCAGCAGTCCAAGACGGTCAATCAGATCCTCTGGAATTGCGATGCCGTAGGACGCGGTTCAAGCTGGGCCGAGAAGACTTCTCTGGAGCCCGCCCGTCGATGCCTACGCCAACGGGTGGAGATCCAGAATCCTCCAGCCGAGTGCCAATGCTGATGCATGCATTACTCAAACCCCACGGATGATGACATGGAGTGGTGGTGCGTTGGTGTGAAAGCTTCAGACGAAAGGAGGTTGCTTGCGTGCGCACTGCGGCAGCTGTGGTCCGTAGAGGACAGCCATATCTAACATACTTCTATTCCCCGCAGGGCTCTAGATTTTAGGGTTTATTCCAATTATTCATAACGAGAATGAAAGAGAAGTAAATAATGCAACGCAGTGTAAGGTGGGATAGATGTACGGACGCGAGAGCGAGGCAGAGCGGGGTGCGGGCGGTGTACGGGCGGGAAGGGCGGATTGGCAGAGCACGGTAAGCGACATCAACTTGTAGCAGCGTCACGCCAAAACGGATCGACGGATACATGGGCCGGGGTAACGGTTACGACTACATGGCATAGAGCATAGACTGGGCTTAGGCGCGCTGGGAAGAGGGTCATCGTTCAAGCTGCGCCGGTGGTGTAGAAGCGCCAGGCAAAGTAGCCGCCCAGGAGACCGAGAGGGAGGAAGTACATCATACTGCAAGCAACGCATGACCAAGACGAGGGTGATTAGTGGGAGTACGTGGAGAGAGAAGATAACGACGTACTTTGATCCTTGCTCGACGGCACCGGACACACGGTTAGCTTGGGCAGCGGCGGCACCTGATTTCAGTTGGATGTCCTAAGGCGAGAGGAGCGCAGGAGGGTGTGAATAGGGGACGCGTGATGCAAGGCGGAAGAGACCTTACCGAGCCTTTCTCGAACTCGCCAACGAGCATCCCAGGGAGCAGTGCACGAGCCTCGTCTGAGTGTCCGACGTCCTCAAACGCCTCTGTCGCGTCCTGGCCTGTTGGTAGAAGATAGCGAGCGGGTGAGCGGAAATTGTGGCGCCATTTATTGGGAATTTAGGATAGAGTGCCACGTACCACCCTCAGCGAGGATCACCTCGTCGCCTCCGGGGTGCTGTGCGTTGGTCGTACATCAGTTGGACAGTTCGTAGGTGATGCGAACAGAGGAACATACCTCGTCCATGAACTTCGTAGCATCATAGACTAATGACGGGGGAGATTGGTGAGAAAAGGACGATATGTGATTGGCTGGCGCGTACCTTTGCCGTGGATGAGGATGTAGAACTTGTCGCGCGACTTGTTAGCGCGGAGCTCCTCGAGGGTGACGATTTTTGAGGACATTGGGGGCGGTAGAGGAGGATGGTCGTGAATGCGCGATGGTGGGACCAGACAAAGCTAGGGTGGGATCACACCTTGGACCCCCGTTAAATAAAAACTGTCCCCGGGTTTCCCACGTCCTTCCCGCCCGTTCCTGCAGAGTTAAACTCTTACCCAAAGACTTTCTAGTCATTCACTAAAAGACGTCTTCTATCCGTGGTGATGTCCGGAATTCTTCGCATCGGTTGCTTGCAAGCTGTCCAGCTACGTGGCGAACATTTGCCTTCGCAGTGTAAGAAATTGTTACTAATTGAGGGTATCTACGAGTACAACACGGGAGCTAACGATAGGAATTCAGATGTTTACTCGGTTTAGTACTCGAATGGCCATGGGCAGCTACGAGGTAGCTGGACATTCAAGCGTGGACCAAGGTGTCGATCTTCCACGTACAAGTTGAGGAGACGAAGGCACTTGGGGCCATGTCCCTAGGCATAAGTATGTGGGGTGTCGGAAAGAAAATTTGACAGAGCAATGTTAAGAAATAGATTGCATTGGCGTCGTCGTCGATGAGCAGAGAAGAGAGAACAATGCGCGAAAAATGCCTTTATTTGGCGTGGAGGGGCAAACAACAAGACCAAATAGAGTAACAACAGATTGCACGGGGTTTGGCTCATCGTCTCCTGCTTTCGACTTCCACCATCATCGCCGCCTCTACCGGCCAGCTTTCTTCGCTGCGCCTTTTACCTCTTCCTTGCCATGGAACACGATGCCTCCGACATTCTGGGTCAGAGAACCACACCCCTGGTACCGGGCAGTCAGCCAGCAAAATCCTCGTACTCCACGACCAAGCTGGTTTTCATCGCCCTGGGTCTTTTGGTTCTGTATTCAATTGCAACTCGGCTATGGAGGCGAGTGCTTCTGTGGCGGGAAAGGTCTTATAAATTGTGCGTTTTGTGCTGCTGCATCGATGTTTGGAGCACGCTGCTTTACTTACGCGTCTGTTTTTTTCACTATGGGTGTTTTTAGAGCCACGCGCCGCCGTCACGGTATCCCGGACAGCGATCTTCGCCCCTTCAATGTCGCCTACACCGACGCTGTTATGAAGGCCCGCGAGGAGGAAAACAGGAACAGGACGGACCTCCGACACAAACCTGCATTCCGGCCGCAACCGTCCACGCTCGATCAACGTGAGGCATTCCCCGAGCACATTCTTCGCCAGCGCTCAGGTAAGCAGTCTTGTTACCGGAATACATGAGCCACGAGGAACTGACTCATCGCATTTTCTTTTATTCTCTTTGTTTCTGTGCTTTGTGCTGGTGCATTGCGTAGCTGTGGCACAACGGTCCGATGTCGGCATGCGGAGTACAGCTGTTCCTGTGCCCGGTGCGTACAGCTCTGGATCGTTCGACTCACACCAACCTCCGCAACTCCATGAGATCAACACGTATGTGCCCTTCACCACTGTCTCTGCTGGCAGGCGTTTACGTAAGTCTTCCCTACACAGCAAAGGGCATCAAACCAGGAGCCCCTACGTGCAGCCTGTTGTGAACGGTGTAAAACCTCTTTCTCGTCACGGTGGTTATCTCAATATCGACGATGCGACATCAGATAACGAAGCCAGAAAACGCACCTGGGATGAAACACTTGAAGAGGAGCACGAGGCAAAGAAAACTAGAGTGGAGGGTGAGGAGTTGATCGATGGCGATGAGGAGGCCGAGTTTGAGGAGGCTGCGCCGAAGCGAGGGTCGAAACGTGGTATCCGCGACGAGGATGACAATGAGGAGGTCAACGAGTCGAAGAAAGCCCGAGGAAAACGCGCGCGGAAAGTTTCTCAGGAGAAAGCAGCGCACCATTATCAGGGCGATCAAAGTATGGATGTCGACGAGGAGGAGGAGGCGGACGAGATCACGGAGCTGAAGTCTAACTTCCGCGGAAAGAAGCGGGATCGTGCTGAAGCCGGTTCGACCTTCGGTGGTGATGACGATGACGACAGTGCGGCAGAACGAGAGGCAGAAGGCAACTCCAAGGTTCGCAAAGGTAGAAAGCGACGCACAGTGGCCAAACAAAAATCCGAAGCCAGTTACATCCGAGGCAAAAAGCGTGAACGAGGTCAAGAAGACGGTGGCAGTGATAGCGATGACAGCTCCTCCAACAAGAAGTCCTCCCGCAAAAAGAAGGGCAAACGTGCATCCCACATCGAGCGTCGCGATTCAAAGAGCGATATCTCCATAGACGAGTCTACCACGTCAACAAGGAAAGGTCGAGAGATCGGTGAAGAATGGGAAAGCAACAACGTCAAGTATAAGATAGGACCTAATGGCCAGAAACTTCGCCTCACCCTCGTGAAAAAGGCGAGGCAAAAGTTTGTTATGGTATGTTCTATTTCCCTTCACATGCTGTTCAGGCATTGAATAAGGTTCTTTCCAGCCCCAAGATTCTCAACATCCGGATCGCGACGCCAATCTCCAAGTCTTCATCGAGTGTTGGCTTACAGATGAAGAGTATCAATCTGCCAAGGCGGAGGGTATGTTGCACTGGCAAGACTCGCCGGGCAAGGCAAAGGACACAGAGAAACTATCTTTGGATATCTCGCAGGCTGTAAGTTCCGATCGCGTGACGTTTGACTTTGACACGGCATGGAAAGCTCACCGCTTGCGTTACAGGAGCATGGGGTACCTTTCCCCCAACCGCCAGCAGGGAAGAACCTTCTCTGGTCCACTTCTACCTCGGCAACGACACCAACTATCTCCTCCGCGTCCCAGTCACCTGTCATTGACAGTTACCCTGCTGAGAAGTACCGGAACTATCGCGGCAGCTACCGCCATTCGATCGCCACTTCGGTTGGGCTGCCCATTAATGCTTTTGGGTCCTCGACGTCTACCGTGCCGACTATAAAACGTATTGCCTCCACTACGAGGACCCTTGGCTTGAACTCAAGTACCAGTGGTTCTCCAGGGTTGTCGGATAGCACAAATGGCAGTCCCAGAACGCCCCAGTCGCATAAAGTCTTCTCGAAGTGGGAAAAGCAGGAGCTGGAAGCGAAGGCAATGATGAAGATGCGTGAAGCGACCAGGAAGAAGGAAATGGAAAAAGAGGCGAAGCTTAAGGAGGAGAGGGACCGTGCTGAACGTGCGGCGGCGGAGAAAGCCAAGGCAGAACAGGAGAGGCAGCAAAGGGAAAGGCAGGAGAAAGAGCGTTTGGAGAAAGAGAAAGCAGCCAGGGCGGAGGCGGACAAGAAGGCGAAGGAGAATATGAGTGTGCCGTCGATAACAGTTACAGCCCCGACGATGACAACGTTCTTGGTGGTGGTGCGACTTCTACCCTTGCTGTTGCACCGTCGCAGCCCGTCCCCAATTTCTTCAACAACTTTACGAACCCCCCTAAGCCTGCTGCTACCGCTCCGGCTCCCGGCACGACAACATCATCAGGACAACCCTCGACTGCGCCCAATTTCTTCAGTAATCCTGCTTCGTCTGCCCCAGGTGCATCAAGTGCCAGCCAGGAACAACCGAAGCATACTTCAGGGTTTTCTGCTCCAGCATCCGGTTCGACTTTCCATTCGGCAACGGCATCTTCCTCTGCTCCGAAGTCCTTCTTTTCGTTCAACAATCCAAGCTCGTCGGCTGCTGGCACGGAGCAGAAGAAGGATGCAGCCACTGGAGGTTCAGGTACAGATGCCGCTGGAGCTTCGTTTATGTCAAGATTAGGGCCTCAAGCAGGCTCTGAAGCACCCAAGACGCAGGCTCAGGGACAATCTACGTTCTCGTTCGCTAAACCGGAATCGTCGAACTCTACCGCCGCTCCGGCTAATGCATTCGCGTCTTCTTCCACAGCCAACGCAACTGGTGCAACGACAACCCCAAAATTCAGTTTCGGGGTCAAGCCAGCGGCTGCCACCACTACCCCTGCTCCAAATGCTTTCAACGCCCCTTCTTCATCTTCGTTGAGCGGTGCTTTGGGAGCTGATGCTTCTAAGCCTCCTGCTTCCAGTACCGGTGCGGCGAACACAGGATTCAGTTTCAAGGTTCCCTCGACTCCTGCCTCTGCACCTGTACCAAATGGCACCGCAGGTACATCGTCGACAACTCCAGCTGGGATGCCCAAGTTTAGCTTTGCGGCGCCATCGACGGCTTTCGGCGGTGCTACCGCCAGCAAGACCGCTCAACCTGCCAAGCAGTCGCCATTCGGGACAACTGGTACGACAGGTACGGCGTCTTCATCGCCTTTTGGAAACACGACTACGACGTCGGCGTTCGGTACCACTCCTGCTACGACGAACGGTACTGCCGCCCCTTCGCCTTTTGGAACGTCGTCCAATTTCTCTGGCTCGAGCTCGTCACCGTTCTCGTTCAGTGCCACTGGTTCCAAAGCGCCGTCATCGTTTGGTAGCTCGACATTTGGCACGAATAACGTTGTTAACGGTACAACCTCGACACCGTTCGGTACTGCACCCGCTTCTGCTTCTACTTCCCAACCAGTGAATATGTTCGGTGGTGCAAGTAACACAAGTGCAAGCAAGCCTGCTGAGGCTCCTAAGCCTTTGTTTAGCTTCGCCAACCCTGCGTCCTCAACGACTGCTGCGAATGGCACGAATGCGGCACCGAAATCGGCCTTCAGTTTCTGCACGACACCTGCCGCTTCTTCCAACACCTCTAACGGCGCAGCCACCACCGCTGCATCAGGTTCAGGCACGACTGCCACTCCGTTCTCGTTCAACTTCGGAACTCCAGCAACGACTACACCCCAAAATTCGCCGTTCGGGGCTGCAGCTTCGTCGGGAACCTCGATGTTTGGTGGTACTAGCGGTGCCGGCTCCTCGACTCCAGCCTCGGTGTTCGGAGGAGGGGCGTTTGGCGCTCCTGCTCCTAAATAGGGTGCTTGGCGTTGGTCTATTTTCTGCTTGGGTTTGGTCTCGAGGGGGTTTCTGGTTCTTCAGAATTTGCTTTTTCTCTTTTTTCACTGCCTTGATTCCGATCCTCCATCCATTGATCACTGCACTTTAAATTCGTGTGGGCTTACTGCATTAGTTGCCCACATTCATCTGCACCGTCCTACATTTTCATTCAACCTTACATATGTTCCATATCCTACATTCATAGTGCCTTAATGGACGTTGTACAATAGATGCTTGCTTGATCCTCGAGTCTTTGGTTTATTATTATTCTGCTTGGATCTTTTCCTCCATCGTCGGAACGCTTGGGGGCTTTCGATTTGAAAGTCGTGCAAGACAGAAATGAAAACATGATTCACGTGTAACCTTGTTTTGCCGAAATTGAGCACGTCTGGGGTTGTTCTCGACTATCATCCTCTACCCCAGAATCAACGTTTTTCTTGAAAGCGCTTCGCTGGCCATTTGGATGGCCGCTGGCTGACAAGTTACGCTCTCTGGATCTTGGCTTACTAGTGTTTGTGGACGGCATAACGACCTGGACGCGTTTCGAAGCGGGCTATTTCAGTCGATCTCGTAACCAGCATCTCTGAAGAGACACCAACGGAATCCCTCTTCCTTCTTCACCACAGCACACTTAAACTATTGACAAACTCCTAAACTTAAATTTATATCGAAATGCTCTCGAGCGCGGAAACACCACGACCTCTGCCACCAGCCAAGGCGAGGAGGGCTAATGCAGCCCACCGGAACTCAACGTCATCCACCCCGCCTCCTGCGTACGGTTCGCCGTTTACGTTCCCTCGAAGGACGGCGCCGCACTTGTCTGGTCTCACTAACCTTGGACATGGGCAGGGGAAAATACTCGGATCTCCGATGGCGACCACGTTTCAGATGGTGGGGTGGGGTGTGGATGGTGATGCAGGCTTGGTAGAGGGGGAGGCGGATTGGATGAGCGAGAAGTCGCGTGAGGAGCTCAAGGAGCTGCTGTTCAAGGCGGATGGGATCATCAAAGAGCGGGAGAACGGTATGGCATTTCATCTATGGTTGAAATTCTGCTGACATTCTTCTACTCAGAGCTTGGTCTGACCTCTGCGGTGTGCAAGAACCTGTATGACAACCACGTCGTCCTACAATCAAAGCATGAAGCTCTGCTCTCTCGCATCCCGATGTCGCCAGCGCGTTCTACTTCTTCCCCTGAACACCTCTCGCGGCTCTCGCGGAGCAGTACCACTAGCTTGAGTTACTCCAACTCTGAGTCGGCACTCGGCAACCCTTCCCCTCTCTCTCGCCAGCACCATGGCCATCGACATACCCGCAAAGTGTCGATCGCGTCTACTGATATTTCAATGCTTGCGGACCAGAACGCTGAGCTGCTGGACAAGCTGCAGCGTCTGGAGGAGGAAGCTACTTCTGCTGATGCAGCTGGACGGCGCGAGCTCAAGCGACTCGAGAAAGAAATCGCCTTCTTGAGAGAGGCGCTAGAGAAGACCCAGGCAAAGAGCGAGGCACTTGAGGAGAAAGTGCAGGACGCTGTCGTCGGTGAGGCATGGAGGCGGAAGAAGGAGCGTGAAGCCAAGTTCCGGGCGATGCGTAGCGCTCGACGCAGCGAGGACGCAGAGGAGGTGAAGAGCTTCGCGCCGGAGGGTTCAAAGTTTGGTGGGCCCAGCGACGCTTTTTCTTTCTTCCCGTCAGCGGAGAGCCCGCGACAGCAAGGCTTGTCATCGAGCAGCAGTGCGAGCGACATGCCCTTAGGCTCACTGGCACCTGCTGAGCACGCTTTGATCACTCAGCTGCTGAAGAAGGTCCAAGAGCTCGAGGAGACGAACTCGAAGATCCTGACGCAGCAGACCGAGACGGCAAATCAACTCAATGCGGTGCAGAGGGACACAGTGGCAATCGCGAAGGTATACGAGTGCCTCGGGGACCAAGACTCGATTGAGCTGGAGCTTGAGGTGGAGAAGGAGCACGAAGAACCTCAATTCGTCGATGAAGAGCAAGAGGACGCGGACATAAATGCGGCTAGGAACACGATTAGATTTAGCAGCCTCCGACGGACGATTGAGAGGGACATGGTCGCCGACGGGACGTGTATCGTTCATCCCGACTTTAGTGCCGCCGCAGCATCGTCGACGAAAGCACGCAAGACCGTCCTCGGGCTCTTTGACGAGCGGCGAGAGGACGCCGGTGGGGTTGAAGACGATTCTTCAGGCGACAAATCGTCCTCGCTATGGAGCGAAGGTCACGACTGCTCTTCGTGGTCGTCCATCGCCAGTGTGGGTGTCGGCGGTGGCTCACTCTCGCCATTGCATTTCTTCTCCCCCCTGTCACAGTCGCACAGTCAGTCCCAGTCCCAGTCGCATTCGCGATCACACTCCTACTCCCACCCGCCAGCAGACATCTCACCACTAGGCCCTTCGCTGCAGAAGGAGCTTGAGCAGCAGCTCGGTACCGGTGCATGGAACATGCCTATGAGTCTGACTTCGAGTGGTGGGAGGGGCCCAAGCCATCTACGGACCTCGAGTCTTTACGACTTTAGTCAGATTTCCGTCCCACCATCGCCTTCGCCTGAATCGCGGTCGGCAGCACGGAGAGGCTCGGACGAGCTGGACTTCGAGGCGATGGAAAAGATGAAGGCTGCGAGCCAAGTTGGCCTAGGTATTGGTCATGCAGGTGCCGGAGATGCAGAAGAGGACACCGCGGAGGAAGAGGAGGAACGCACACCACTACTGGGTGCGGGCAATGCCAACTCGCTGAAGTTGTCTCTGGAGCCTCCAACTCCGGTCAAGGCAGAGAGTCATAAGGCTCATTCTGTTACTCCAACGGCGACAGCGAGTGCGATCGCGAATGCGAAGTCTCCGCGCATGCAGATGATCTCGGAGACGATCCGTTCGAGAACGCATCGGTGGGTAGACCGACGGTTCAAGGATCGCAAGGCCAGCCAAAGAGATGGCGAGAGGAAGTGGCGAGCTGGGGCGGAGGATGAGTATGAGGAAGATGTCCAAGTCGCCACGGCTGGCGGTGTGGTGGGCATGCCGAAACGCCTGTCCTTGGCGGTGGATAACCTGATCGAGAACTTCCAGATGCTCAATGGTGGTCGAACGGGCAAGAGGAAAGCTAAGGCCAGGCCTAGGACGAATTACACGGACGAGGAGGCCGAGTATGACCGCGACGAAGACGACGATGGAGCCTACGACTCGCCTTCGCCCTCGCCGTTCACCCCACGCAAGCTAGACCAGCATAACGCGCTCCAGCTACACGTAGATACCTCTCCAGAGGGGTACGAGACGAACAACGAACAGGAGAACAGGAGCCTTGTCAAGATGGAGGCTAGTCCCCAGAAGAAGGCTGACGCTGGACAAGGAAGCATGCTTCTCCAGGCGTGGCTCTGGTTGCAATTCGTTATTATCATCCTCGTGTTCCTCGTCACGATGGCGAAGAAAGGTCCTGCGGTCGTCCTTTCGGAGGAGAATAGGCATCGTGACAGGAGGGCTGTTGTTCGCAGGAGATGATCTCCGGCTCTCGAGCCAGACTGTTGAGCCTTCTGCTTTCCTCCTCTTCGACGCTTCTCCTCTCGTCCTTGTGGTCCATACTTCTTCCTGCCCAATCCTGCCTGCTTTCGCTGCTATACCCCATCGTTTCGTGGCGTATTATTTCACCGTCATATCCATCTGCCCCTTCTTCATGGACCACACCATATTAATCTAGTATTATCTACTTTACATTAGCTGTTATACCATACTAGATAGATTCTCTGCATGTACATCCTGGAATCCATTGTTCGTTGCTCCTCTAAATCCCATGTCGTGTACTCTCGTATTTTGTATGAAGCAGGATGCAGCCCGAGGAAAGTCCGATAAACCATACTATGACCGTGTCAAAACCCGTTGACTGGTAAGACCGGTTACGCGTGAGAGCAACACGAGAACTTTTCGATAGTAGGCATCCCCATACCGGGTGGATAGTTATATTGTACACTAGAATCATGTCAATACATCAGAAGTCTGAAGTTTCAATATCCCTTCCTGTCATTGACAACACCATATGCAGGCCCATTCTTTGCAAACATATTCCTCAAATCCGTCACCAACTCCACAGGTTTTTCGTGCGCTGCGAAATGCCCCCCGCTTTCGTGCTCCTTCTCGAACACAGTGTATTTGGTCCTTGTCCATCTGACAAGACCTCAGTATCTGAGAATTCGGACGAATCGTGTGTCAAAACATACGCTCGAGGGTAGACAACAAGTTCTTTGGGAAAGTAAGAGACCCCTTGAGGAATCGTTGGAATTTGTGCACTGTCGTCTTCTCCGTGTATTTTTTCATAATAAATACGCAACGACGCAGCGGGGCCAGCCGTCGAAAACCAATAAATCGACACCCATGTCAAGACTAGAGTAAAATGCAAGAGTCAATAGCTTGTTCAGTGACACTGGATGAACCTGCTGAATTCACCTTCATCGTCCTCCCAGGGGTACCCATCAGTCCAATTGACCAGCTTTTCATAGATCCAAGCAAGGAGACCCGACGCAGAATCTGCCAGGCTGTACCCAAGAGTCTGTGGCTGAGTCGATTGCTCAAGGTTGTATCCACGACCTTCCTTCTCGAACCACTCCGTCCGCTTCAGGCCTGCCACCTCTGCGGGTGTATATTTCTTGAAAATGGATGAGAGATAGACCCAGGGAGCCGTTCTCAAAGTTGGTGGAGACCTTTGGCCACTAGTCAGACTTCAGACAATGGATATTTTTAGGACGCGACTCTACCCCGATGTTGCCCAACGAGCGAAATTTGAATGCCATGCTTTGCTGTTTTGCCCCCCGTACAGAAGCGCAATTTTCCTGGTGATCTGGGAAGATATTCTTGTCATGAACCCTAAACCAAGGACACATTGAAGCTCACATGTGCGCCCCAATCGCCTCCTTGAGTAACTGTAGAAAATATGTCGTTTAAGCGAAACGTCCATGTATTCATGCTTCAAACTGACCATATTCTTCGTATCCCAGAGAGAGCATCAACTTGTTTCCGACCTGTTATTCGGGATCTTTACATCAGTTGAAGAGTGGTAGAGTCTTTGTAAGTACCTCGGCGTATTGGGCTATGTCAAACCCTTTCTTCTTAGGAGCCGTCGAGAACCCATAACCAGGCAAACTGAAGGCGACGACATGGAAGCTGGGGTGATCCGGGCTCGCCTGCGTTAGAAGAGGAAGAATCTTCCGAACTTCAATGAAACTTCCTGGCCCTTCAACACCGCACAAACGAGGCGACATTAACACAGAGATAATGTTATCATAAGAGACACTGCTCACATCCGTGGACGAACAAGAGCGGAATGGCACCCTCAACCTCACTAGTCTTGTGCACAAAGTGAATGTCAAGATCTCCGAATCCACCAACGTGGATCTCTTTCTTGAACTGGGGCAGCTCGTCGTTGAGTTCCTTTTCGTGTTTCCTCCAATCATAGCCGTTCTGCCATCGCGCAACAAGGCGTTTCAATTCAGCAAGCGGTGCGCCATAGTCGCGCCCAGCATCTTCGAGTTCATCGGGGAACGTTGTCAGTGCGAGTTTTCTCTTCAGCGAATCAAGCTGCTCGTCGGTTACTTCGATTTTGAATGGTCTGTCTGCTCCAGGAAGGGAAAGAGAGGCCATGGTACTGGAGTGGGAACCACGCTAGTGATCAGCGCTTCAGTATCCAAGCCTTTATACACTCGCCATTATGACGGAATGCTTCTGACTCGACGTGACGAACGAAGGCTTGCATACGGGCCGACCGGACCGGTGATTTCACGAACCCCAGAAGTTAGAACCAAAAATACTCAAAAATGACACTTTCATTCTTGATTAAACGTCTCCGCGTGAGGAGGTTCTTGGCTCATGCGCCTCCTTCTTTCCTGTCGCCCCGCTATCAGGTCACATTCATCCAGGAGCTCCTCAACTCTCCTGCGCCTCTCGCAGCAACACCGGCTCAGGATGGCAAGCTCACAAGCCTCCGTGGTATGTCTACGCGAGCTCTCTTATGGGTTTTCTTGGAGTAGTGCCGAGATTGACGCGGATCGTTTGTTCATCATACAGTTCGGGCTGAAAGACCCCAGCTTGGTCAAATTTCAGTCACTCATCGATGGCAAATGGATGGACGCACACAGCGGGGAGAAGATTGTCGTGACAAGTGAGTATCGGATTTACTGCTCCACCCGTTGAATGATACTAGTCGACTCGCTCAAACGGCCGGTGAACTGATCATTGCTCTCTCCACCTCTCCAGACCCTGCGACAAACGAGGAGCTTGGGACCGTCCCGGAAATGGGTTTAGCCGAGACCAAACAGGCAATTGAGGCTGCATCTAAGGCGTTCGTGAGTTGGAGCAAGACGACGGCCAAGGTTCGTCCCACAAACCCTTGTCTATTGGTTGTTGTACTGACGAAATTTATTATGCCCTCACCATGTCTTTTAGTATCGCCATGATCTCCTCCTCAAGCTCTATGCTCTTATGCAGCAGCACCATGAAGATCTGGGACGGCTCATCGTATGTCTCCTCCCAGCCCTCTTAACGTAATTGAAGACGAAGCTTTCTCTATTCATAGACTCTGGAGAACGGCAAGCCTCTCGCCGAGGGAAAGGTGGTCTATTTTCGTTCTTCTGGCCTCTTTCGTTGTGCTCATGAATCACAGGGCGAGAACACGTACAGCGCCTCATTTGTTGAGGTACGTATTGGTTCGTTATTTTTCGAGAACCGTCCAGAAAATAACGTGTTTTCTAGTGGTTTGGTATGTATATAGATATTGTCAAACCCTTTTTCCTTTGAACTGACTTGGGATTTAGCTGAGGAGGCTGTCCGGACATATGGAAGTTCGGTCTTTCCTTTTGTCCCTCGAATCCGGGCCTGACGTATTTGATAGAACAAATTCCGTCCGCAAATCCCACTACCCGCAACATCGTGATTAAGCAACCCGTTGGTAAGAAATAAGATCCCCAGTGCAAACGTTTACATTAAAGTAAAGCGCCCTTCCAGGTGTTGTGTACGTTCTTCGAACCTAAGTATCTCTTATCCGATACGGCATCACTAACCCAACCCCGTGCGTAGCTCGATTCTGACCCCATGGAACTTCCCCTCCGCCATGATCACCCGCAAACTTGGTGCTGCCCTCGGAGCTGGATGCACTGCAGTCATCAAACCTCCTCCTGAGACACCATTCTCTGCACTTGCCATCGCTGAGGTTCGTATACCCGTTTCCTTTTGCCTAAACTACCCGGCTCACTTTTACTGACTTTATCTTCTTCGAGTAGCTCGCTGCACGCGCTGGGTTCCCAGAAGGCGTCATCAACATTGTCACGACACAAAAGAATGTATTGGAAGTTGGTAAGGAGATGTGCGAAAACAAGATTGTCAAGAAAGTCAGCTTTACTGGGTCAACACCTGTTGCGAAGCTGCTCTACGGAATGGCTGCGTCCACTTTGAAGAAGTACGCATAAAATCTCTTCAGAGAGAGACTTTTTTAAAATTTATCTTCTGTTTAACCTCGTGCAGAGTCTCGCTCGAGGCTGGAGGAAACGCGCCGTTTATTGTTTTCGACGACGCGAATATCGATGAAGCTGTCGAAGGTACGTTCCTTTCATTTAGATAAATGAGCTTCACTTATGATAATGGCAGCTGCTATTCTCTGCAAATTCCGAGGCAGTGGCCAGACATGTGTTTGCGCCAACCGTATTTATGTCCAATCCTCTGTCTACGCTGACTTTGCCTCTCGTCTCGCCGAACGGGTCGCCCAATTCAAAGTTGGAAATGGACTTGAGGAAGGAACGTAAGCCACCCTGTTCTTCTTCCTATATTATTAGGGCTTTTTCTAATAATATGGAAAATCCCCAGCACCCATGGTCCCCTAATCCACACTCGTGCTGTTGAGAAAGTTGAGAAGCACGTCAACGACGCAGTCGAGAAAGGTGCACAAATCCTCGTCGGTGGCAAGTCCATTCCCAACACCGCCTTCTTCGTCCCGACCGTCCTCTCCGATGTACCCGCAAACGCCCTGCTCAACACCGAGGAGACCTTCGGACCTCTCGCTGCGCTCACACGGTTCGAGACGGAGGACGAAGTCCTCAAGCTAGCAAACGACACCGATGTCGGCTTGGCTGGATATTTCTTCTCGAGGGATGTTGGAAGGGTGTGGAGGGTCGCGGAGAGGTTGGAGGTCGGCATGGTTGGCGCGAACACGGGCTTGATCAGCCAGGCAGTCATTCCGTTTGGTGGGATTAAGGAGAGTGGGCTCGGAAGGGAAGGAGGGCCGCACGGGATTGAAGAGTATATGAACACGAAATTGATAGCATTTGGAGGGCTTGGGGCATAAACTGCTTATATGCTGTCTGGAGGGAGCGAATGGGCGAAACCGTTGATCCAAAAAAATCAAGTGTCTGTACTCCATATCTACGCCCGCAATATGCATTTTTTACCTTTCATCTTATCGTTTGCGCGAATAGCGTCTTTATTTCATCCACCTACCGTGTATACAACACCCTAGCTGAACTAAAGGAACACGGACTCTCAATCGCCAATCATCAATCCAACTTGTCAAACCCTTCGAGCTCGCGCGCACAGAGCGCAAAATCCCTGGTGACTTTCTTCATGTTTTCAAAGAGCTTGCCAAAGGTGGGTTCGCGAGCAGCGAGCTCCTCGAACTCGTTGAGGTCACGACGATGCAGTACGGCGTAGTCCTTGCTATTTTTGAACCTGTCGATGATAGACTGGGGAATCGCTCTCCCCCGCACGTCGAGTTCATTGAAGTCACGGCGATGGATCGTGCCGTACTCCTTGCTGTCATTGAATCTATCGATAACGGACTGGGGGATTGCTCTCCCCCTCGCGTCAAGGTCCTGGAGGTCACGACGGTGGAGTTGGCCGCGTCCCGTGCTGCCCTTGAATCTATCGAGAATCGTTTGGGGGATCGCCCGACCCCTCGCATCGATCTGCTCAATATCGCGGCGGTGTGGGTGCACAGTTACCGGCCGACCCTTGAAGCTATCGATAAGGGACTGAGGGATGGTGCTCCTCGACCGAGCTTCGAGCTTGTGTTCGTGGAATTCGTGGCTGAAAAGCAGAGTCCACGAGCATAAGCTCTCGAGTACGTGTGAGACGGGCAAAGATGCCAGACGAACCTGACTACAGGAGCGGCGAGCGCGGGGGCAACAAGCATAGCGGCGAAAAGGATAGAGGTGATTTGGACCATGATGATTTCGTTGTTGTTGGCTTGCGGTCAACGCAGCGTCGAGTTGTGGATGATGATTTCGGTTTGGTGGGGTGAGACCAGCTGAAGAGTCGTCATGCTCGTTGTCGAGCTTATATACATACCGCACGATCGACAGCCCGTTCTTTTGGGCAAGAATGCGACGAACTCTCGACAGTTTCAAGAATGGGGTTGATGCGCGACAGCAGCCGAGTTCTAGTCACTGAATAGTAGAATCACAACGGCGTTGTCACAAACAGCCTCCTCTTCTTGTTGATTGGCAAGGTTGCCCCTGTCCAGTCCAAGAGTAAGATAGCTTTTGCATGATCTCGCAGATGTGTAGTGCGTCCTGAGTCACCTCGCCTGTAAATCTACCTCTAGAAAATGAACTTATCTGTAGAATTTTAAAAAAAAGGCTACACACCGTCCAGCAGATTTGTAAACGACTGTTAGTGGCGCAATGAACATATGTGGACAGGTCACATCGTTGCCAGGATATCAAAAGAAGTGGTAGCCAGGTGGTAGCCATAAAAACCGGCTTCCACTATTACACATCTTGAGCAGTGAATGCTATCTCGCCAAGAAGTGCCAGTATGCTGACAAGAGTACGCAGAGTTGGCCAAGCGATGGTTTCCTAAGCTGCTGCCAGTGTGAAGACACTCGAGGATCGGCGTTGGTCCAGGACAAGTGCAAGCTACGGTGCCTGTTTTTAGTTGGAACAAGATGGCCCCATGCGTGCAGCGCCGGTGGTTCGATATACTCAACGAGGGAGATGTTGAGGAAGGATGGAGGTTAGGAGAGTCAAAAAACGCGGGTCGTCACGACACAATGACAAATATATCACTCTGACCAGTCTTAGCAGCTGTGACTGTCAACGCTTCAGTACTTCAAGCTTCAAGTTCAATAGCCGTACGAATACCCCGTTCTGTTCGTCGTGTATCACCTGAAGTAGTGAATATTAATGGAGAGTATAATTGCACGCGTTGCTTCGGCGATGTATTTCTGGACGTCTAGATCACAACTTGGCTTTTATGCCCGTCCTCTCTTCCTTAACGTCATTGACAAGCGTGCCAATTCCACCGCTCAGCCAGACAGACATTTTATCGCCGTCCTTGAGGTAGAGAGGCGGACTTTTGACGAAGCCAACACCTTTCGGTGTGCCGGTGAGGATGATCGTACCTGGTTCGAGGGTCGTGCCTTGCGAGAGGAAGGCCACAGTTTGGCGGACGTTGAAGATTTGTTCTCTGTAAGATTAAAGAAAGCAATGATCAGGAGATGCTCTCAGAGAACACGAAATGCAACAAATGGCACTAACGCAGTTGTCCCATCCTGAACAATCACACCATTTAATGTGCACTTCAATTGGACATCCTGTGGGTCCTTAATCACACTGCTCGAGACCAAACATGGGCCGAGGGGGTTCGTGTTATCAAAACTCTTGCTGAAACCCCATTGCGACACGGCCATCTGGTGCTTCCGGAACGAGACGTCGTTCGCACCGGTATACCCTAGGACATAATTGAGCGCGTCGGCTTCGGAGACGTCCTTTGCGGACTTTCCAATGACGATGACAAGCTCGACTTCGTAGTCCGGCAGGTGCTCCTTCACAGGTTGCGCTGCGCGCGGGATGACGACTGTTCCGAGAGGACCGAGCAGAGAGGTAAGGGGTTTGTAGAAGAGGATTGGGAAGCTGAGGGACTGTAAGTGTCGGAGAAAGATAGAACGCAGATCCACGGCACGAACGCAGGTTTGGCAAGTTTAGCTTCGGCCTGAGGCAAGAGAAGGATATATTCAGTTCAACGGGCTTCCTTCTTCCGTCGGCCAGGTAATACTCACGGCATGGTCGGAATAGTTCAACCCCAGGCATCGCACGACTTTGATCTCCTCATTGGAAAGTGGGCTGAGGAGTGTCCTCACGGTGAGAGCGGTGTTGGTGACTTGCGCTGAGAGGTCCAACGCGGACCCGACGATCTCGAAAGCCCGGATGGGCTTCCCGTGGGCAGTAGCGAGGCCGACTGTTGAACTATTTGAATAACTCGTCTTTGAGTCCATGCAGAGCTAGACATACCATCGAGGTTTGGGTCGACAGGCTGGCCAATATGCACTCGCCCAGTCTCAACGGCGACAAAGCGAATGAGACGAGTCCATTGCTGCAAGAATTTGAGTGTTGGTAGGGATATCAATTTCGTTCAATGATGTAGGACGCGACGTACCGTTTTGATTGGCGCCATATCGAAGTATCGGGACTGATTGCTACCTATTTCGCTAAGAACAAAGGTGGTGGGTAGGCTGGAAGAGGATGTGGTCGACTCTTGAGAACATTTTGTGCGAGGAGTGAGAACGATTCCTCCGGACCGTCGGCGTTTCGGCGGAGTAGATACACGTGCTCGTGTGAACAGTCACGCGCTCGAGTGCCAGTGCGGGCCGCCCAACCCTGCCTCTGTTCCCATTACGTCGGTCTCACGAATACTTCAGTTCTCACTACCTCAACGAGGAAGCAATAGTCTGCTTTGGAAGCTATCAGCATCACCGGCCAAGTCCCAATTCAAATAATATGGCTACAACACGAAGAATGGGCGAGACGAGAGAGGGAGTTGTAGGCAAAGATTACAAGTATACGCAGGAGATATCGCAAATGGTAAGAGAACGTTTCTCAACGCTCGACGTGACTGGCCAACTTATCAACCTGCTACTACAGATGTTTGTCTTTGGGGAGGTACAAGACCCCAATTCCGAGACCGTCAATCTCGTAGAAGACATCGTGCGGAGCCAACTTATCGAACTCGTTTGTCTCCACATCTCGCCACAATTCAAGCATAACTTGACCCGTCTTTCATAACAACAGATTCTCCAAGCTCGAGCTCTCGCTATGCGCCGAGGCGCCCGTCATGCAACCGCAGAAGATCTGATCTTCCTCATCCGACACGACAGAGGCAAGGTCAATCGGCTACGGACGTATTTATCCTGGAAGGACGTCCGTAAACACGCGAAAGATTCCGGTGATGGTGGTGGCGCCGGTGTCGAAGTGGATAACCTGGAGGACGCAGATGGTCGGTCCCTTTATTACTGGCCTTTGCAAGCACAAACGATTTGATGTCTTCAATCCCAGACAAACTTACGGCCAAGGCTCAGAAAATCACCATCAAGCTGCCTTGGGAAATAACGACAATATACTCCGAGGTGCTGAAGAACAGCGGTCACCAGTCGGATGATGAAGAGGACGAGGACGATATCGAAGCACATGAAGCGTCCGTTCAACGGCTGAAGGTCAGTACAACGCTGGGCTGTCTTCTGGTTTTGTCTGATAGGTGCACGTAGGAAGCGGATGATGCCACACGACAAATGACGAGAGAAGAATATCAGCATTATTCTGACTGTCGTCAGGCCTCTTTCACCTACAGAAAAGGTCAGCTATCAATGTTCTCGTCGAATCCATTCCCCAGCCTTGACTGACCTTGCAACTCTCTACAGCTAAACGTTTCCGCGAATTCCTCAACCTCCCAGCCCAACTAGACCTCAGACCCGGCGACGACACCGTCGACATCGTCGGATTCCTCGCGTTTGAAATGGTCCGCTCACTCACCCTCGCCGGCCTGGCTGTCAAGAAATCCCTCGAAGACTCCTTTCTCCGGGACGACTACACCTCTCCTGTTCTTGGAAAGCGGAAAGCCGGTACTGCAGGTGGCTCAGCAGAGAAGCGGAGACGAGAGGGTTCACCAGATGAGGACACGGAGTACACACTGCCCGTGAACTCTTTGTTCTTGCCTCCGCCAGAGGCAAGGACGGCTCTGCGGCCTGAACATATCCAGGATGCGTTCTCGAGGATGCAAGGCGAGTGGGCGCATAGTCGCTCTGCAGGTATGCGGAATTGGCGAGGAGGGCTCGTCCGGACGAGAGTCAGTCTCATATGAACAGTCGCCTCACGGTTCTTTCTTGCTATTCAGTCATCTGGGCTCTAATGTCGCATTCATATATTTATATCATCAATCGAACGAGTGTATTATTCTTCCCACTGTCAATTTTAGGGATCTTTGTTGTGCATTCAAATTAGAGGGCATCTGTCGTCAGGGTTAGAGGCTGGTGGTTTAGAGACCCTGGCTGCATTGGAAAAATCTCTATTTCTTACAGCCTTTCTCCCCATTGTGAAGCGCAATGTGCCGGTATGCAATCATTACCTGTGTGACTGAAAGCATGGGTCCGCGTGGATACAGGAAACAACAAAATTTACACCTCAGGTTTCAAGTTCATTATCACACAATCGCTGTACAGCAAGGAAAGACATCGAAAGTGATACCATTAAGTGGGGCATCTAAAGTCATTCCTGCCCTGAAATGCATGAAGTATCAACGGTGTACCCAACAGCTGAAATACAAATGCAATATGAGCACATACTTCATTTCAAATAGCTACCCCAAAAAACCGCTCTACAGCCGATGTCGATGACGTTCATGCTTTTGGGAAACTGCTTGATCTGAGGGTCCCCGTTTACCATATCCACCAGTCTAGAGCGATCGAAATCGATTACCCTCCAATCATGGATGACGCCGTGGTGCGGGCAACGAACATCTGCTGTCTTAGCGCCTCGGTAGTAGAGGAAATTGAACGAAGTAATGTCGGTGTGCAGGACTCCTGCTGCCCCAACGTCCTCAGCCACGGCGATTGAATCTTCTCTGATAAAGACTGTCAAGACAAAATGCGCGTCCATGAAGCAGGTGCACACACCTAAGCCCTTCTCTAGGCTCCGTCCACTCTTAGTGCTCGCTGCAGCATTCGCCTAGCTTCTCTAGCACAAGAACAGAGATAGTCGGATTCTCTTCTGAGAAATTCCATGTATTCCACGGCGAATTGTGCTTGAAACCGCGGTGATCCCAGTAGTGCTCTAGGGGTATGTCGTCTGGAAGCCAATCTTGTGAATCGATGGACACGGGGGTCAAGCAGGAGTCTTGTGTTTCGGGATTGTGTGGATGCTTGTGCTCGCTCCAGGGGAAGAAGTCATCCGGAGTGTTGTCCTGTTCGTCGCAAGTCGAGCTGAAGAACCCGTAGCAGCGAGGAATGGAGGTTCCCTGGCAACATGCAAGCTGTTCGTAAGACCAAGCCTCGCGTGCAAGGCTGCGAGAGTGCTGCTTCTTCGCAAATTTGAGACAGACGGTCTCTGGAAGAGGTTTGACGACAGAGGAGTGGTCGTAAGAGACCGAGACGACGCGGGCGGAGTATGTGACACCGATTCGGCCTTCCGAGATGCGTTCTATAAGAGATAGTTCCAGTACGCCTTGCAACGCGGATGTGTCTTTTGCTGCCCACGAGTCGCCAACTGGATGAGGATTCTCGTCGAAGTCTAAGGAGCTGGCGGGGAAAGACGTGGTGGCCTTCAGGGACACAATTAGGGGAACGCGTTGCGCGTTACGCCCACAGTCTGTAATGATCAGAGTGGAGAACATTTCAGGGTATCGCGTAGCTGGGAGAAGTTTGGCAAGGACGTGTTGACAAAGTTCTCACGATTCAGACGAGTCCTTGTCCTACTCCACACTAATACTCTACGCTCGCCATGGTTTCTAGCCCCCCCGTATCCCGACAAGGCGTGGCTTTGGTCGATGCCCCTCCCTGTGTACTCGCTGCCCGTCGCTACTGTATCGCCATTTTCCACTCTCAAGAGCAGCATCACGATTGCTGCAGCAACGACTATATGTAGGAGATCGAGGCTCCTCTCCATGGGCTCAACCACCTGGCGGTAGGAGAATGAATAAGGGACCGCCTTTTCGCCTGTGTCTCGTTGGTTCCATTCTCCAACTGTGATATCTCTGGAGCTGTCTATCGCATGTAGGAATGCCCAAATGTCCCGCAGGATGCACCACCACAGCTCAGAGAGGCGCAGGACCGTCTGAAGAGCACCCTCGTTGCCAATCCTCACCATCAGCCCATCCTTGTACACAACAACGACGAGGTTCGCGAGGTGTGCAACCAACATATTTTTTGATGTTTTGAACAAATATCTGGAGGTATGTCAGCGTAGCTTAGCCCATATTGGACTCTCGCTGATCTACTCTTTGAATTAAGTTGCGTTACACCAACAACCTGTTAGAGCATCCGACTGCAGAACGCTTTCGCAATGCGTGTGGAGTTGCGACGCTCGATTCTCAGCAAGCCGCCGCGATGGCATTCGCTACCCGCGATGGATTAGCCCTGTGAAGTTCAACCAGACGGACAAGAGTCGGAACGCAACCGGAAACTCCGGTAAGTTGCTGGTCATGTACCCGAAGAAGATACCTGCTCGGATGACGTTGGCCGACGCATGCGCGGTCGCCGAACCAATTCACTGCAGTATGGCTGAAGTGGAGCCTGGATGGAGCTACAAAACGAAATCCCTGGAAGATATCTATAGAGGTGACAAGGGAGTCCTCGATTACCATGGAAAATTCTTGACGGACACAAGCAAACACACCGGGAACCAACTCATACGCCAGGTATGTCGTCTATCAGTCGTGCCTACACTCGTCGAAGATCTGGGGGCAATGTTTCTTGAGCACGAAGATTGCCTTCACTACGAATTTAGACGGCGTCATGGTCCTCCCGCAAGATCTCGAAGGCTGCAAGATGATTCTCTCCTCCCTCCTCCCGTGGACAGACGTCCGCGTTCTTTCGTGTTTGGTTGCATTGTCGTTCATGACTGTTGATGCACCAGAGTGGGCAACGGTAAATGCGCCTGATGGAGTTGAAGATGGGTTGACCTTGATTGACATGCTGGCCCCACCCACGGAGTGTAGTATCATTCAGGCAGAGCAGGTTCCTCCCGACCAGTAGTCTCAGTGCATTGAAAGCAATCTCTAGAAATTTCTTCAGAATACACGAGCAATCCGTCATGCGTTTGTTTAGACCCCAAATAAATTGAGCCAAAAACCCGTTTTGGATACACGACGGCGTCGAGACTAGACCCTACCGGAGGGATTCATAGAGATAGAGAAGCATCCTTGCAATGGTTGACGCCAAAGATACTTAGCGTAGAGAGAGAGTAGGTAATCTAGTCTCAGTAAGTTCTCAAGATCCTCTCCAAAGCTGCCAGTTCGAAAAGGGCGGTGTCGGATATCTTTTGCTCAAAGATATCGCACACAAAGAATTCCTTTGATTTCTATCGATACAGGTGCGTGCCTAATAAAACATGCTAGTCATATGTATGCATATGTGGGCCCGATATTATCCTATCTACTTAGTCGAGCTCGTCGAACGCAGAGTCGAAGTAAGCACGAGTGGCGAGCTCCTCGACGCTCTCGAGGTCCCGACGCTCCTGGGTAGCCGCAGCATGGACATCAGCGCCGACCTCAGCACCCTTAGCAGCGCCCTTGCCCTTGAAGAGACCTTTCACCTTACGGACGATCTTGCCGAGGAAGGGGTCGCGCGCTGCGAGCTCCTCGAGATCCTCCCACTCGCGGGCGGAGAGCTCCTCCAAGTCGCGACCCCTCATCCTGCCCATACCTCCAGGCCTTCCTCCCATCTTGGCACTCCGGAATCGCACCTCGAGATCGTTGAACTCGCGTGCGTGCAGGTGAGCCTCGGTGGTGTGTGCGCCAGCGTGGGCGGGTTCTTCAGTGGAAGTCTCCTCGGCAGGAGTCTCGGTGTTCTCGACCCTGTGAACGGATGTTAGCAATTGGCAAACGCGAAACAATGTGAAGGAGCTCACTCTTCGTGAGCGTGCTCGTGAGCGGGTGCATGCTCGGCCTTGTGCTCGTCTTTCTTGTGCTCGTCCTTCTTGTGCTCCTCGTTCTTGTGCTCGTCCTTCTTGTGCTCGGCCTTCTTGTGCTCGTCCTTCTTCTTGTCTTCACGAGCATGCAGCCTGCCTCGACCACCCATCCTGCCCTTGCCGCCGAACCTGGCAATCAGCTCCTCGCGCGTAATCAGATCGTCGAGTTCCTCAAGATCGCGTGCAGTCAACACAGACCCAGCGACCTTGGCAGCGCCACCGACGACCTTCTTCGCGACTCTCAGAACCTTCTTGAAGATGGGTTCGCGGGCAGCGAGCTCCTCCAGCTCCTCGAGTTCACGAGCGGACAGGGCGGCACCAGCAACCTTGACGGCAGTACCGCCAATTCTCTTCGCGACGCCGAGGACCTTCTTCAGGATGGGTTCGCGTGCGATCAGGTCCTCGAGCGCCTGAAGGTCACGACCAACGGCCGGGCGTGCAGCATTGGCGCCGATCCGGTGGGAAACAGTCCCTTTGTGGATCCTGAGCTCGCGGCGGTGGAGGTGGTTGGCGCCGGGGGTGTGTTGATGTATGTGACTTGAAAATGTGGTTGGACAAGGGAAAGGCTGAACAGATAACAATTGACTTACCCAACCATAGGCGCAGCGAGAGCAGGGCCAGCAAGGATGGCAGCAACGACAACAGAAGTGGTGAGTTGGACCATGATGACTTCGTTTAGGGGGGTCGTAAAACGTAAAGAGTTGAGCAGTAGAGTAAGTGGATGGATTCCTTGATTGGTCGGCTTGCGGTCAACGCAGCGTCGATTGAGTGGATAGGATTCGGTTTGGTGGGATGAGACCAGCTGAAGAACCAGAGCAGCCAGCTGCGGGTTTTATACGCCTAGAACGCCTTCCGTTCGGCTTTGAGGATCTGTACGATGGCCCGGTATTCGCACAGGCTCAGTCGCGAAACTTGCCGTTTTCGGGGGTGGGGTGGGTGATCGTCGTGGAATCGTCAAGAAGATGGGACTTCACAACGCTATCCGGCGTTTCTAGTGGCCATCCCAATCCATTGAATTGCCCAAGTACTAAGACGAAATGCTGCCAAGGTCGTTCTGGTGAATGCGCGTCATACTCTGTTTTTGCCCCGAGAGAGACATTTGCCGCTCTTTCCGAGAGTTACAAGAATGCAATTGCGCCGCTACTTCACAACTCGGAGTCATAGTATGCAGCCGATTATGTTGTTGCGCACTTCAGCCCAGCTGAACAGGCCAAAGTCCTGGCAGAGCCTACCATGATTCCGCAGCAACAAGGTAACATCAAGAAACCAGCTTCTCTTCGATACAATTCAGATCCAGCGTCGACGCAATCGAAAAAGCCACCCCGTCAGAAGCAGTGATGGAGCGGAGAGGCGTTAGCACCCGAGTGCTCAAGAACACATTAGAAAGTATCAAGGGGTACACCGAGAGATCAGCCGTTATTACGCAGCACAGTAGGTTGTACTTCGTCGGAATCTTTGAGGAGCGACTCGGCGAGATAGGAGCACATTCGCTAAGTGGCGAATCAGAAGATGTCAAAGGACCAAGACCGACCAGTTCACTCTTCTCGAGACCATAGATGTTGATAAAAAGAGGCTGGGGTACGATAAAGAGCAAGATACCCGCAGCGTAGCACGAAAGGCTGTTCGAGAAGGAGGCAACGGTTGCAAAGTTTTGTCCTCGGGCAAACTCCGTCGTGGCCCGAGTGGCGTCCCCAATTTCCTCGGCAGCCGTTTGTAGGAGATGAGAATGACACTACAAGTCTGCTCTTTCAAGGTTGTTGGAGCAAATCGGCGTGTTGAACATTATTCAACGTTTGAAAGACATGGACGGCGACGATGTTCGTTCGATCTCGCTGAGTCAGCAATATCTCGTGACCTACTCTCAATACAGAAATCCAGCTCCTGTCACCTCCGGTTTATTTCGAACCATCAAATTGTCAGGAAGGTAGGATAACACAGGCCTTTAGACGGGTACTTCAAGATAAATGTCTTGCGGTTGAAACACGATATAAATGGTACTTTCTTTGATTACCACATACTAGGGGTCTGGTACTTGCTCAAAGGGCACTTGGAGATGCTGGGGGTACATGGGGTGTGCATTGGAAGTGCGATAAGAGCTCGGAACTTCAAACCAGGTGTGACTAAGTATCTTCCACTAGGGAAACAAATAAATGATAGAGTATATGAGGGCCAAAAGTGTGGGGAGGTGCAAGGGAGGCACAGCTGTTCAATCAAAAAGGTGGATGGAGAACATCGGAACACCATCCAGGGGGGCAGCACTGTAACGCGCCTTGAAACAGGTATTTACTTGCTTTCAGTTTGATGATTAGCCACTGGAGCAGTATTGAAACTCGGAATTCCATGGGTAAATTTCTTCAGTTCTGCAGTGTGTTGAATAATATGCATCGCGATGAATTGGTGTTATGCGAATCATGGGTTACTTACTTTTGGTAATAAAGAAAATCAGAGGGGACTGGGAATGGGCAACCTTACCAACCAGGGGCTGGTACTGAAGCTTGCAATTCCACAGGTAAATTTATTCAACTGCATCACAATGAAAGACAATGAGATAGTAAACCCAGTGCAAAGCATGGGTCACTTGCTAGTATTGAATAAATAAACGGACGGTAGCATCTTGACGTGAATGGGCCAGAAGATGAGCCTGAACAATTGCAAAAAAACCAGACAATTTTGCATCGAGTACAAGTAATATGGCTAGTGTACATGAATATTGAGGTGTGATGTAACTGGGATATGCGAGATGGGTAGGGTGAACCGACGCGCTCTACAACTTCGAGAAAATGGCTTGTGCTCCGGAGCTACCACTTTTGGTAGTCCGATTACCAAATTAGGACGTATCACCAGAAGAGCTCGGCGAAACAACTCGCTTTCATGCAGCATCGCCGGTGACATGTGGAAAAAAAATGGTGATGGGACTATTAATAGGGGCTAAGAGTCATCTAGTGCAAGGGATGGTAAGTGATGGAAGCATTGCTTCACAACCGACTTGAACAAGTGAGATGCGAAGACTATTCATCCGAACGCACTTACGGGTGAGATGATATATTGGTACTTGTCTATTTCTAAGTTCAATGTGCTATTAAACCCCCTCGTTCCCATTTGCTGTGAAAGTGTTGCAATATTGCTACTAATCATTACAGTAAGTATACATATTGTAGGTCCGAATTGTCACATACAATTAGTCGTAGCATCCACAAGCAGAAAGCTCTTCAATACTCTTGACACCACGTCCCTAAATAGGGAGAATTATGGCCAACCTGCGACCAACCTCAGTCATGGTACCTCGACGAGGTTTCGAACGAGCGGATCACGAACATCTTTTCGAAGTCTCCAAAGGCGCTGAGTCGGAGGACTCTGATTAGGCTATGATAGCGTACCAATTAGGGCCTGGAGATGCAGTGTGTGGTGAAAAGACACCAAGCTCAATCTGCAACTCGTTGACTGTTTTCTCCTCAGCCTACATGACCCCCTTCGGGAGCCCCCGCCGACTCCTCTCCCTTACCACCGCCCCAGTGAACCTTGGAAGCTTCATGCTTCAAGAGAACAGTAATAACAATTCCGAAAGACGTTCTTTGAGGGCGGTTGCAACAAATGTAAGCAAACGCAAGGCAACAGTAAGCGCTTGGAGCTGGATCTGTCCGATGAAATGATTCCCTCACGATTCCGAAGGGCAACAGCGATGCGTAAAAACGACTCGGCGCCCACAAAGGCCAGCAGGTATTTGCTTCGGTGGTGTCTGGCCCTCAATTTCTTAAATCGGAGTGATACCGCCTTCCACGCTGTTTGACTACCACCACGCCACACAGGTCCTCTCGCGTTTGGGAGACGGGGAATAAAATATGCTGCAATCCCCATTGATCAATGTCAGCACTACGAATCTTAGAATACAGCCGAAGATTAAATACGTGAGGCGGGTTGGCGCAGAGGTAACTCGAAGGAGATCTCAATGAAAATCCGGAGATACGTTAACCGCAGCCAAAATGCAGCAGGTTACTGAGGGACGGTTGAATGGACTCGGGCAGAACCTCGACTGCGGGTAAATTGCGAGCTAGACGAATTGATTAGGCTCCTTTTCGTCTAATTTCTTGAGGTAGACACCACTCACAAATGCGAGCCCTGGTTGTTGATATTCGACATGAGCGCACTTTCGAGCGCAGATGCTGATAGGCTTGCGTCTGAGACCATGCAATTCAGAGGACGATCGAAGGGAGACAGACGATACACCTACCACTGAGATCACTGAAACTCGAGGCTTCCGACCCTTGACCGCTCGATAAATCGCCCGCTCTGTCGACCAAAGGTCTATCACGTGGACGGGGTCCCTGTCCAACAAGGTTTCGCGTAGCAGGGCCAGGGCCAGCTGTTTGTGCTGGCATATTCCATCCCATGGGCGAGCGTGGCTGCGAGCCAGATGAAGGAGACGGGATCTCGGGGATGGAACCTTGCGGCGAGCTCGCGCCAGAGACACTTTGGCTGGCGCTTCGGCTGGACAGGGTGCCCTGCCTCGAGCTTCCAATGGAACGTGGAGATAGCGGTGCGGAACGTCCGCGATCTTTCGCCTTCGCCTGTGCTGTTGAACGGGTACCGCTGACAAGCCCTAATGCATCGTTGGTCATCATTTTCTGTAGCTGTGCCAATTTACGCTCCAAAGCCTCGTCTTCCTCTGCATTTCTTTCCGCTTCCTCCTCCTTCAGCGCCTGTTCGTCACTGGAGTCCGTGCCGTCATCTACAGAAGATGATGGAGACGTAGGCCTGAGTGGTGCGAAAGTCTTTCGTGCAGGCTGAAGGGTGAGCGTCGACGAAGAAGTCGCCTTCTTGGGTCGTGGCGCGTTTCCTAGAGAGCTGAGTCGTGCACGGACACCCAGAGGGGAGACAAGTCTTGATGATGACATCTGATCGCTTCCGACCATTCGAGTGGCCACGCTTTGGGGCTTCTCGCCAGCAGGGAAGTAGCCTTTGGGTGGTTGTGCGGATGAAGGGCTAAGTGCACCTTGGATGTCTTTCAACCCGCGGATCTCTTCTTGGAATCGTGCATTGACTCGATAGAGGAGATAGGGCAGTGGTACTTCCAGGTGTGCTGCCAGGCCCTTCCCTGTTTCATTTGCATGAGCTTCGTCTCCTGCGCGATACACAGCCGACCTACGTACAGTCGGCACCAGCACTGTCCACTGAACGGGCTCTCTGAATTTCAATGACCTTCCATAGAATATCGGCTTTCTCTGGTGTCCACTCTATCTAGAGAAAAAGGATTAAGATATAAACTTTTCAAGATGGCGTGGTATCTTCACCTTTGGGGGGTCGCTTGGGGCATTCTCTGGTCGGTTGTAAGGGAGCTTGACGATGACGCGAACCGGTGCTGGTGCAGGCATGATTCCTTCCTAGTCGTTTAGCGGCAGAAAATGTAGCGTTGGTACCAGAGAACGTCTGAGGCGTTGCAAGAGGTTTGTGGATGGTGGTTGTGATACAAGTTGGCCATTGTTTCCTCGGCCCGGAAACAAACGAGTTGAACTTCATCAAATTGATAAGATAATTCCTCCATGTCTCGTTCTTCCTCTCCAACCACTGACTATGCCGCCGAGCTGCAAAATCTCCTCGCCGAATTGTCTCAGAACCCAGAGAGAGAATCCGTAGCCTCAGAACTCGAAGGCGAGTTATTCAATCGCCTTTCTAGGAACATATAGTCCTGAAGCTTAACCTATCATCTCACCCACCACGTAGTCCTCCAATCTATCTACGGCGACGGAGCAATACGTATCTGGCACCCATCGTCAAATGGAAAGAGCAAGAATGATGCGAATGTACGCTACGAAGTGGTTATGAGGTAAATATCCCCTCTACTCTTGCCACCAAAACAGGGTAATAAAATGCAGCCTCCCTTCACCTCATGAGGACATCTCTGTGAAAGTTCTCGTCTCTCTTCCGACGACATATCCGTCTTCGTCTCCTCCGCAACTCCAATTGCTCTCTAGATACATCGGCTCGTATGGGGCGGACTCCAACCTATTTGGGTCCATCTTGAGAACGTTCATCTCTGTCAATGGCGTTGAATGGTCAGAAGACACCGTTTGCGTGTTCGACGGCCTCCAGAACGTGCTAGACCGCTGTACCGCCTGGTATGAAGAACGCCTTAGTGCTGAAAAGGCTGGCAAGCTCGTGCGGGAAGAATTACAGGATCACGGCCAGGCAAATTCTGTGAAGAACGACTCGTCAAATGCAAACACAGATGACCGACCATCTGGCTCAAATGACATCGGAGTTCCGACTGCTCTTCCTGCGGGTATCCAGATCCACACTGCAGAGCCCATTACGGATCGGAAGAGTGCCTTTGTAGGACGTGCTTGTCGAATTCACCATCCATCGGAGGTATGTTCAAAGTTCAAACCCTCAAACTTAGTTCCGATTCGGGGGAGGCATTTTTCTGAGCTCGAGCTTTCTAGGTGCCTCTCGTCCTCGCCCATTTGATGTCCGATCGACGAATATTTCGTGCCGCTCATCCTATCATCAATGCATGGAGATGTCAAGCTGACGGTATACTGCACCAAGGTTAGACCCTTTTTTTAAGCCGTCAACCACCTTACTAAATTGACAACAGACAACGACGATGACGGAGAAACAGCAGCAGGAGGCCGGATTGCGCATCTCCTTCAGATCTTGGCGAGTACCCTTTTCTTCGGCACGAACCCTGGCTTATGCACACTCCATTACAACAGGAAGTCAACAATGTGCTAGTCATCGTAACAAGATATTTCGGGGGAATACATCTCGGCCCAGATAGATTCAAGCATATCAATCAGGCTGCCCGGAACGCCCTGGAGCTAGGAGGCTTCCTTGACACACCAGAAGCACAGAAACACACTTCACGGGCGAAGAGACATTGAGATGAAACATTCATATACACAATTTTTTGTACAACCTCGGGAACACCTAGATCTATCTTAGACTACCCTCGCCTCTCGTTTCGAATACATTGGTGCCGTTAGCCAGTTGGAGGAGGGTTCCCTATGAGCCTTTTCAAGCCGCCGACCATAAGTCAATATTCTGTTCACTAAAGGATAGCGCAAGTATGACAAGCACCTGGAGCTTCATGCGATATTTTCTGGCCTGGATCCGTACGCGTAGAGAGCGCCTCGTTGATTGACCTGGTGAGAAGTTGGACAAGAGTTAGCGGCCCGAATAAGCCGCCATCAGAAGAATTTTGACAATGCTCTCCTGCATTTCACCATACCCAGTCTTTGTGAGCATTGGGTATCGTGATGGGCCCGTCTTCAGAATCTTCTTCCTCATCGTCATCATCTTCTAGGAGTGTCTCGCCAGAACCCCCGAAATCTCAGGACCTCAAACGAAAAAGAAAAGATCATCCTGCACCAGAACCTGCTCAGGATGATTCTTCCTCAGATGGTAGCTCAGATTCAGACGATTCAGACAATGAGGATTCATCCGCACCTGCACTTTCGCAAGAGACGCCCGCGGTAGACGAACCTGTCCTCTCACACGCTGAGCGGCGACGACGAAAACGAGAAGCTCGCTTGGCCGCGAAGCGTGAGGCAGAAGGTGGCCCAGTACCGAAAAAGCGCAAGCTCAAAGACGGAAAAGCTGCCGCTGTGGATGCATCGAAGTCTTCTGGTGATAAATCAGCTCGGAAAAACTCGGTGTGGGTGGGCAACATGTCGTATAAGACGCAGCAGGAGAATCTGCGGACGTTCTTCCAGTGGGTCGGTGGCGAGATTACGAGGATCCATATGCCTATGAAGGAGGCTGAGAAGCCAGGGGTGAAGCCGGAGAATCGAGGGTATGTTCACATCCAGTTGAAGTTCGTAGTTGGGGAAGTTAGCTGACTAACTTGTCGCAGGTTTGCATATGTCGATTTCTCGACACCTGAGGCGAAAATTGCTGCGATTGCCCTCTCAGAACAACCCCTGCTGGGTCGGAAATTGCTTATCAAGGATGGTAAGTACTTCACCTTGCACTCCTGCTGCCATGAATTCACTGATAATCGTTGTGGTCTTAAGGCGATAGTTTCGAAGGTCGACCAGCAGCCATTGGCGAAAACGTCATAACCGACTCTGCTGTCGCACACAAAACGCATTCGAAAACGGCTCAGAAGATCCTACGGAACCAAAAACAACCCGCCGGTCCAACACTCTTCATTGGAAATCTGCCTTTCGAGACGACGGTTGAGACAATCCGGGAACTTTTTGAGTCTCATCGCGAGACGAAGACAAAGGGGGAAGAGAAGAAGAGGAGCAAATTCAAAGATGAAGGAGGAGAGGAAAAAGAAGGAGGAGAGGGAAAGGGAGAAAGGAAAGATGAAGATGAAGGAGAGCAAAAGCCCAAGGACAATTGGATACGAAAAATCCGCATGGGTACCTTCGAAGACACTGGGCACTGTAAAGGGTGTGGTCTATATTTTATGTCTATCTCGTCGACGACTGATTTTTTGCATTTATTCTTGTTTGTAGCTTCACTTTCGTCGATTTCACGTCCGTAGACCACGCGACGTCCGCCCTCATCAACCCTCGAAACCACCACCTGAACGGCCGCGACCTGGTTGTGGAATACGCCAGCCCAGACGCCGTCCGCCGGGGTGCTCCCAAAGACGCCAAGCCTGCGGGTGGAGGTGCGCCGCAGAAAACAAAACGAGGATTATCTGCAGGGTACCACCGCACGAAATCCAAGCTGGCTGTACGCTCTGTGCCCAGGCGACCACAGGACATTGCTGCGAAAGAAGCGGCTAAGAAGGCTGAGGAGGCACGCAATGCGAGGAAAGGCCTTCCCAATCCCTCACCCTCGAAGGCCGAAGGCTCAGATGCCACAGTTAGGCATAAAGGACCCAAGTCTCGTCCCAGACCTGGAGCTGCGTTGGCACTCGCAAAACGCGAGTCTGCTGCCATCGTCGCAAGTCAGGGACAGAAAATCACCTTCTAGGTGTTGGTTTGTTGATTGGTACCTTCTGTTACTTGTGGAGTATGTGTTCAATGCTGTATTCATTCACCTTGCGCAATCACCCAGCGATGCTTTCGAATAAGAACTCCTGGGAGTCCGGTCAATTTCGACTTCGAAGTTTCAGAACCGCCACCGGATTTTCCCTGGCAAGAACGAAGAACCTTGGCCTTTCTCGTTTGTGGCGCGTTCTCGACGCTCATTCAACCTCAAATAACCTCCGCGACTTCGCAACATGCGGCTCCCTAACACGAGGAGTGTGGAACAGGACCCAACTTCCAAAAAAACCGAGAGTGCGTCTAGAGTGCGTCCATGAAGACCTATGAAACTTCATCAATCACCTCCAATGAGCTCCAATACCTATGAAAGTGCTATCCTTCAGGGGTGTATCCTCCAACCGCCTGTTATTTGACGGACAGACTTCGAGCGAATCATAGACGAGAAAGGGATCAATCCGTCCGGCCCGTCCTTCCCACGATAGTTAGGCGCGTGTGTAGATTTGGCGGAGGGAGCGATAGAAATGGCGAATCTGGACGAGTCTAGGCGTCCACGACACTCTGGTGCGTTTCACGAAGTCCTCAAGTATCGTTATCCTCCATTTACGCTTTCCACCGCTAATTGGATGCTGAGTGACCGGTCTTCCTGACCCGAGATCGACTCGAAAGGCCTGCCGTGAGTGCTACGTTTGCCTCTCCATGCGTCGCCTGTACAGTTACGTCCCACAATTGAAGCTGCTAACGTTAAATTCACAGTCTAGACCTTCATCTTTGCCGCGACATGCGATTGACGATCGGAAACAGAGCGCTTTTCTTCCGGAGAAAGAGCGCTCTATCTAACTGCGGACCTTGAGTTTATGATGAACACCCGTCTCGTTATGTGAAACTTTGGTGCGCAAGAAACATCGATTGATCATCTCTCATGAGGTATTTCTGATGCCGCGGTAATTGCGGAATGCATGGCGACTCCGGACGAGAAACACGACGGAAAACAAAAGGGATACCGAGGTGTGTACGCGTGGTGAGATACCTCTCTGCCTCGAGGCGCCCCCCACAGCTCGATTTGATCCCATATCTTTATATCATATTGCAGAATGAATCTCATGAAGTGTATGTACCTTACCGCCATGCATATGAAGCTGCTCCTCGAAGGAGAAATCCGCGAAGAGTACTCAGAAGGCCGGAGGTCTAGGGCCGCCGAGGCTGGCCACGGATTTGGATTAAGAAATGGGGTTTGCCGCAGAAGACAGGCTGAAGTTTGTTGGCTTCGGGTCTGTGTCCACCCTTAATTGCAGGGCTCAGATTAGCAGGTTGAACTTTTGTGATTTAATGTGAGGCCGAAATTTCCTGAGCCTTAGTCAAATTTCAATCCTATTCGGATAGATAGGCCCCTTTCAAGCTACATTCTAAAGAAAGGCAATTTATTCCTGCAGGCGAAAACGTCGTAGATTACTAAGCTCTTCCCCACTAGAAGGTAACGTTTGTCCACGAAGGAAGAACAATTTAAGTAAAACATATTGAAGAATCAGGATCGTCATCAGCCCTGGAACAAGTTGACTTCATGTATCTCATCATGGACTAAGTCTTGGAATTCGAACACCCATCCGCGAGCACTTAGCACAGAAACGAAGGGGCATTCAAGGTTTGATTGCAGAAGAGAACGAAACAACCGCGTAAAATAGCACACGTACATGCTTCGGGTCCCGAACTTCCAAGGCGAGGAAGTAGTAAAGTATACAGCCTGCTAAGTCCGCGTCGGTGTCGGAATGAGTTAAACACTGTCAGTAAATTAGTAACCGTAGTACAGTAACCTGGGGCTTGAGAGAGATGTGGCGTTCGTGTCAAAAACGTCCACAAAATAGAAGAGATGATCGATGGGCCAGACTAGAACGTTGGGTTATCTGAATGCTGTTCCGATGATACGATGGGCGGACACCAGAAAATGTGATGATGAGTATATATCGAGAAGATGAGAAATAGGACAGATCTTCTGTGCACTTATTGGGAAGTGATGACTCTGAGGGAGGCACTTTAGGAACGACTTACCTCCGCTCTGCTTCCAAGAAAGTACGGCGTGGGTGCCTCGCTACAACCCATGTCTTCAGCCAGCGCGGCGCTGCACCTGAGCTGCACTTGTCGGCGTACAACCACGGCGGTTAGCGAGAGGTACAATGGGCCTATCCACATACTCGTCGCGGAGCGCGGAGGACCCTGCAGTGCGGCGCGTTGTAATTAATTTCCCAATTTGTCCGGCTCAGGATTAGGCGCTCCACGCAAGCGCAAGGCGGTCGAGTCTGGACCCTCGAGCGCTTGACAGGTGTTATGTTCCTCTCTACTGCCTTAATGCCCTGACCTCGTATGGAGGACGTCGTCCTCGTTTCTGGAATTCAAGGGAAGGGACCTCCTTCCACTTGGAAATTCCAGAGCACTGACATCACAAACCGGGATCCCGAATAGTGATTCGAAAAGTTCTCCGCTGACCACAGAATGCAAATACGGCTCTAGCTGCTGTGAAATGACTCTCCCAAGTGCCCAATATTCCATCCAAGAGCTGCGGCCACGGAACGACACCTCAGCTGCCCAAAAGGAGGACATGAGCGCTCAGGCTCGGATAGGCTAATATTAATACCATCCCTCGCACCAAATACCTAATAGGCGGCCGTACCTGAGGTACATCACACTTACCACATCGATCCTTCAAGTCCCATGCACAAGCCCTTCGCCAGCTCTCGACTGGATCTCGGCCCCGTCTTCTCCCTGCTTCCTATTAACACAAGTTACGAAAACATCACCACGACACCCACTCCAAGCTCCGTCTGGCCAATCGCAGTCTTTCCGGGCCTCCGGTGGACCTCCTGCGATCAATCACTGGATCAGTCCTCCCATGGCACATGGAGACCACGGAGAGACAATTTAGGAAGGAGTAAGACAGGACGAAGGGCGTCTATTTATTGCTCGGCTGCCATTGGCACCGGTGCCAAGGCCCAAAGGCCTTCCCAGGTCTTCCTTTGCAAGGCTGATACAGAGGGTGTGGGAGGAGATGTGGCGTGTGGCATGTGCGTGGCTTGGGTGGCAGATGGCACTGCCCTGGACTTCCTTTGCCCTTCTTCTGTCTTCTGAGAGCTCTCTTCTTCGGCGGTGAGGACACAGGGAGCAGCGGACATAAATAGAGGAAGGCCAGCACCTAGTCCTGGCGGCGTGTTTGGGTGGTGGAGCGAGCTCTAAACTTCGGGAGATGGGCAGTCGAGACCGCTCCTTTGCAACGAATCCATGGAGATGTTCTCCACCCTATCTTGGTGTGTTAGGTTCTTGACACCGTTGCTTAAAGTTCCATATCACAGAACATAGAAAGCAAGATGAAGATCTTCCGTCGTGTTGCATCTAACAAAACAACCAGCGCCGAACAGATAGAATGTGCTCAGACGTTCGTGTCTCTGATGAGATGGTATGAAGCGATAGTTCTCCTTTGTTCGCGGGACATATTTTGGACTGACGTTTGAGGTATAAGCGGCGCAGAAATCACGGAACATTTGGATCTATAAATACGGGGTCCAATGAGAAACCGCGTCCGGCGAGTCCAAGGAAAAATCTTCACTGCAGTCTTTACTTATATTAGGTCGAGACCTGGACCTTTGAGCCATCTTAAGACACTTATAAGCTATCGTAGGTCCGATAGGACACAATTAGCAACAGGAATCTCCGAATAAGGAGTCCGAGCGCTAGGGCGTCATAGTGCACTCCGAAAATGGGCTACCTATGCCCGTCATCAGCATGACTCAAGCTCAAGGATCGACCGTCAAGCCGAGGCCTTCAAGGCGGAAGGCCGCTGCAGGATGGGTGAGCAAATACGAGGAAGGGAAACCTTCCTCAAACGTGGACCAAGAGGCAAGTCCGCCGCTGGTGGCGCTAAACCATATTCAGCAAATGACCCGAATGGTGTAATACCCCGAACAGCAATGCGTAGATCCCAAGGGCCTAGACTAGACGCTCGCTCGCTCGCAAGGAGGAGCCGTGCCGGGGGTGGGTGCAATTCGGAGTCCACCGACCCCGAGCTCGGATAGCGATTGGGTTTTCTTCTTTTTGTTTTGTAGACTGCAAATTAAGGTCTTTCGCTCCGTCGGGTTGGAAGCGATATCGATGAAGCCATGAGAGCCCAGACTCAGACTGTTCCCGTGTTCTAAGTGACAATCGCTACTAGAACACCCTAATAAAGCTCACAGCAAGCGCACCCCTTCTGAAGAGAGAACAAAAATAAGACGAGCGGAGAGCACCAAATCTCTGGTCTGCCAATCACCGCGCTCCTTTCAAGGCCCTCATATTCAGGGTAGCACCAAAGTCGGCCTCAAGCTACGCTCTGCGAGCCTTGTTTGACTGGACCTAGTGGAAGGCCTTGTGGGTTTGCGAGAGCTCGTGATTGGCCCGAGTCGTGAATTACCAGACCCAGGGACAGGTGATAGGTTGTTCACCCCACCCGTCCTCCGCAAACGCTAGTGTCTGGCGGTTGGTTAGTCGGCTAGACTGGTATATTATTTAATTAATTGACAGGAGTACCGGGGAGGTGGATGGGCGTGTCCAAGCAGGGTAGGAAGGGAGCAGGCCATCTCGAGTGCAAGAATAGATAGATGGTCCCCGTGCGTTCCACATATGTCGCTCCCTCACAAATTAATCCGAGGGTCCGTTTCCTCAAAGATCAGCTGCACCAAGCTTCACAGTTCCAGAACGGACCAATAACTAACCCCCTTCCCGAATGGCTCTCAGATAATTTACATAGACCGATGTAGACATATGTCAAATAAAGCCCCAGCCTAGACTCGTGCATACCTGCGCCACGCACTATCGACACTCGACGTTCGACATCATGAGCGTTATTTGACATGAATTCCTATGACGTGACAGGTACACATTTATTCCCGCGCGATCAAACTCACCTCCCCGCGCAAATTCAGACTTCAAAATTCGAAGTACGGTATTCTGACTGCTCATGCACTG